TATGCATGCACAAAGCGATATAAGTTTTACTACATTATTAAAACCAGTTTCAAGTGAAATGGGAGAGCAAATGTCAATTGAATATCATGTGGCCATGACAGCAAGGGGCAATAACCATCAGACTATACACCGAGCCACTTAGAAGTAGACATAGATCGTAAATCAATGGGATACAGTTTAAAATACAAAATTGCGCACTGTCGACGTGTGGCTCGGTGTACAGGAGTTGATGCGCCCGCGCACGCGACCTATAATTACCAATGCGCACTTTGTCGGATAACACTAAGACATAGATATAAGATGATAATTGTTTTTGTGATTCGAATAATGATATGTTTTTAATAATACTCTCTGAAACGTATATGGTTATGAACGCTAATAAGACGGCAATCTGTTCCGAGTCAATTTTGTTGTCATTAAGAGATATCATGATCCGGGTGTTAGATTATTTGATCGATCTATTTATTCTACTATGAAAGAATCTGCATGCGGTTTTGTATCTAATTATTTTTTCATTTAACTATCAACTATAGGTAGATGAACTATGACTGATAAGTATGGAGAGTTAAAAATAGCAGACTTCCTTAAAACCTTTCGATAATAGTGAATATCATATAAGTTTTGAAATGAGAATCATACATATAATAAAATTGTAACTAAGCCGAATCTGTACATTAAATATTTTTTGGAAAATCTTATTGAAATAGACTTTATTATCGATACAAAGGCCGAATCTATAGTTTTTAGAATTTTTGTCTGTCTGTCTGGAGGGATTTTGATGAAATTTGGTATGATGATAGCCGGTTATCCGGGTCCAACATATAGGGTACTTCTTACCGCGGGAAAATATCACGTCTCTGAGAAATCTATACTAAACGTTAAAACGTAAGTAGTTAACAATAAACCACAAAAATCCACTGTAAGTTTAAGCTTCGCTTTAGCAGCAGGAATGTCATAATCTTATTGTTTTTTGACTTTCGATGCATTTCAAAGGTTTCTTTTAAATCATATACGGATTCAGCAGTCTGCACGTTATTTTAAATACAAGTAATTTTCAAAAAATTGTCGTTTATTTCAATAATTAAGTTATATAGAGTATGTATTTTTTATAATCTGATATAAAGCATTTTTTTTATATTATTAAGTACTATAAATATAGCTTGATCGTACTAAAAAAAACATGGTGTGTGAATTCTTTTGAAACTAAGCCAATATTCAGCCTAAAATTAGATTATTTTATTAAACCAGTGGCCACTTCTGGTGTAACGTTATCAACGCTAATCAAATGAATACGTTAGACAATTTAATGAGTATTATAATGAAGTAGCACTATCTGCGGTATCGCCAGCCTTTAAACTTCCAAATGCGACCAAACTTCAAAGGATCATCCACGGGATTAATCTAAAGATTGCTTGAAAGTTTCATCAAAATCGATCCAGCCGTTTTGGGAGTCCATAGAGAACATACATACACACATCGATTTTTATATATATGTATGTATATCTAGATGAGATAACATAATTTCTTACTTGTTGCTGTTGTTAGAATACAGTACTACACTTCCATCTTACAGCAAATTAATGACCCGTGCAGTTTCCGGGCTGTTATGTCTCTTTAAATTTTTAATAACGTGAATATTAAGATTTTTCTTTAGAGAAATAAATATATATGTTTGTTGGTCTGTCCATCTTTCACGTAACAACGTATCGTAGAGTTTGAATAGAAATAGTGTAATGATATAGGATGAAATATATTTTATCCCGGTACGTAGAGGTTTTTTGGGATGTTATTGTAAAATGTTACCTCATGTTATTATAGCAACACGCATTAGACAAGTGCGCGCGGAAACCTAGTTAGTATCTTAATTAAAAGTAAACTTTTTAAACAAATTTCGACTGTATCTTTGAACATACAAATAGACACTCGGTTTTTATATATGTATAGAAATTGATATTCAGAGGCAATAGCTAGGTAAGAATGCAAATATATCTGTATTAAAATGACAAAATTTTTCATCGACTGGAAATCGCGTATTATATCGTGGAATTCACAAACGGGTTTGGTCGTTCGTGGCTTTCAATAGAATTCATTCTTATCTATAGGTATACCTTGTTCTATTTCGAGATATTTACTATTTAACATGCGTGGTGACGCCATACTATATACATATGTAGATAGATATAGGTAATTGATTACGTTTAACATATTTAGGATTCCGTAAATCCGATGTTATAACGCATACCTTATTGGTTCATTAAAGAAATAATTTAAGAATTGTTGATGATGAAGATTGAATGAAAATTCGATATGTATTATATCCTATTTATAATAGATGGTAGAATATATAGAAAAACATAGAAATTTTAAAATGATGTTTTTGGGGATACTATCACAGAATTTGAAATGTATTTTTTACTAGCGACTCACCTTACGACGGTATGTTTTAACGGTTAGTATGGAATAGATAGACTATATTATTATATACATAGGTATAGAAAAGTAGGTACCTAAGTACTTTAAAAAATTAAATATATATATATATATATATATATATATATATCCCTTGAGAAATAATTGATTCTCTATACAACCTTCCACCACTCTTTTTACCCCTTTAAGGGATGATTTCCGGAATAAAAGCTATTCTATGTCCTTACCAGGGTATCAAACTATCTCCATACCAAATTTCATCTAAATCGGTTAAGCGGATTAAGCGTGAAAAAGTAACACACAGACATACAGACAGAATTATTTTCGCTTTTATATATTAGTATGGATTATTTTAAATATAGGATGAATAAAGATATAAAGTTTTGTAAATAAGGAATTTTAAAATGAACTAACAACAACAAACAATAAAACGAATGACTTTACAAATATACCTGTTCATATAAATAAATTCAGTTAAAAATTATCAGAGTAAGCCGTCAATTTAGATTGGCGTCGCTGGTAGCTGTACACTGTAATACTTTTAGTTTTTATTACATACTAGCATTGCCCGCGGCTCCGCTCGCGTTCAGATGACCAAAAATTAAATTCTTATGTTTTACATAGGTATTAGTATACTCTTTCTTACAATGCAGTTTTGTATTTTTTCTCAGAAATGAGATATTTTACCGCAGTAAAAAGTATCCTATATGTTGACCCGGATAACCAGCTATCATCATACCAAATTTCATCAAAATCCCTCCAGTGGTTCGTCCGTGATGCGGTAACAGACAGACAGACAAAAATTCTAAAAAGTATAGATTCGGCCTCTGTATCGATAATAATGTCTATTTTAATAAGATTTTCAAAAAATATTTAATGTACAGATTCGGCTTAGTTACAATTTTATTATATATATGTATAGATATAGACGATTTTTCTGAATAAAATGCAATATTAACACCTTCAGGTAAATTTCTAAGAAATTAATTAATCTTCTAAGAAATCTATTGTTAACTGTAACGCCGGCGTGTCCGCGCTCGTGGAGGGAATAATAAGGTTTACATGTAAGCTATATTATATTACAACTTTAGTTTATGATCGGTCATCGTTTCGCTTTAGCTCTATTGAGATCTGTGTTAAATGACCTACTAAACTCTAACTTTGCAGTTTTAAAGTCAAATTTGCAGTAACTAAAAAGGTTTTTTTACAAGAGTAAGTACTTTGGGTTTTTCTATCGTGAAAATAACGATAAATAATACGAGTATGCATTATACTTTCTTAGATTTACGCGAATGTTTGACATTATTAAATAAAACTATCTTTTCGGATTATTACTAATTAATATTTAGATTACTAATTAACATTTTAAAATTGTAATAATTATAAAAATAATGGCAAAAATTAAATAAATAATTTTCCATATTCAATTATAATAAAAATTATAAAAATGTTTTAAAGTTAAAAATATTGTAATGTAATTGGTGCATTTTTCATTTTGTTAATTGTGGGTAGGCTGTCTGTAACAACTATACATTCAAGACATCTAACACCTCAGTCTCTCCCGTGACCATGGATGTTGTAAAACATTCGAAACGTCGGGAACCAAAAATCAAAATAAATCCGCGAAATAATCCGAAAAGATAGTTTTATTTAATAACGAGTATGCATTGTTACATTATTTGAAATGTCACTTGACACTTCAATTCGATTGGTCAGTATAGATTTATTATACCAAAGTGTAAAATAATGAAATTTCTCAGAGATTATCTGTCTGGAAGTAAATTTCGTTTAACAATATATGAGATGACTCGGCTTTTGATCAAGCTCAGTGTCAAAGCCGACACGTTTTGATCATAATTTGTTTTGTCTTCGTATTATAGCGATTCGAATGACTCATTGTAAACATTTCGATCACGTATAGACATAACTAGCGACTTACCGTCGCTTTGCTCGGGTTCGTCCCTAGCTTGATTTCCTATACAAACTTTCATGCCTTAAAGGAATGATTTCCGGGATAAAAAGTATTCTATATCCTTTCCAGGGTCTGAAACTATCTTCTTACCAAATTTCATCTAAATCGGTTCAGTAGATCCAGAGATTACCCCCTACAACGTCACAAACTTACAAACTTTACCTCTTTATAATTTTAGTATAGAATATAGATAGATATAGGTATTAATTTGAATATTACATTTTGGACATGCCATCTGCGTTAAATGACTGAGCGGCTATGAGCAAACTGATGTGGTATTGGATAGTTACAAGCAATATCTGTCTCACGTGGATATTATTTGTTGTTACTAATGGGACATTTTATGTTCATGTTTGTGAAGAATAAATTACATGAATATGTATAATTATTTATGTTCTTAGTGTAATTAAAATGTATTTCTTTAAAAAAAAATAACATTCGACTTAAATTTGATGTTTAACATTAATAACTTTTGTTAACAACAACATAATATTACACAATAATATTACTTAATATTTTTAGAAAAAAATGTGTGATATCGTCTGTGAATACTATTTTTTGAAGTAAATATAATATAAAATTTAATTATTTATTCCAGTGCGCAGTTACGACAAACACGACAAATGCGGCCTGGTCTGGATACCACGGGTCGTTGCATACAGATGTCGAACCTGCGGCATATCGCCGTGCATGTCCATCTGCCGCGAGTGCTTCCACCGCGGCGACCACTCCACACACGACTTCAACATGTTCCTATCACAAGCCGGCGGTGCCTGCGACTGTGGCGATAACTCCGTTATGAAGGAGGACGGGTGAGTGGCATTTGTCATATCATTTCATATTTTACGTATCATTTTTTTACCAGCTATATAAGCTATGTAATCTCTTGGAACAGAAGCCATTGTTCCAAGTGATTACATAGTCAGATCATCGGAAGTCCTAATATAATATTAAAAAACATGTATTATTTCAAGTCTTAAATTCAAGTTAGTGACAAATAAAAGCTTAAAAATTATACAAGATATTACAATGATAAGATTATACCTCCTCCTTTTCTCAGGTATAAATCGAAAAATATTGATCCTACGAAAAAATTGTAGGAAAATTGATTTTAAAACAACTTTATTTATTACATTTTTTCGCGTAAAATTGAAAATAAACGAGTTGTTCAATAAACAAAAATTCACCCCCTCTTTTCGGGTATAAATCGAAAAATATGGATCCTAAAAAAAATATGATGAGAACCAAAATTGTAGGACATTTAATTTCAAACAACTTTTTTGTGTAAAATTGAAAATAAACGAGTTATTCAATAAAGAAAAATCAACCCTTAAATTCAAAAGGCGGATGACACAACGGGTCTGGTACCCCGGGAACCTAATTAAGACTGCCAACCAACCCCCCCCCCCTCCCCCCAAAGAAATCCAAAGGAAAGTTACCAGTAAATTTTTTTACAATGTCAATTCCTAATTCGACTGGGCTATTACAGCTGGAGTGTAGGCAATATTCATGCAATTCACAGCTTTTATTTTATGGCGTTATCCAAGTTGTAGATACCATTGGCGATATGAAATTTTAATTTAAGGCCTATTTCATTCTAGCGACCACTGCACTAGCACCTTTATACAAAAAATCACATCAATCCGTCGCTATGTTTTAGCGTGAATGCAAACTAACAAATGGATAGAAGGCGATGTAAATTTTTTATGGTAGGTTAGTTATCTATACATATAATAAAATTCTAACTAAGTCAAATTTGTACATTAAATATTTTTTGGGAAATCTAATTGAAATAGACATTATTATCGATACAGAGTCCGAATCTATAGTTTTTAGAATTTTTGTCTGTCTGTCTGTATGTCTGTCTGTCTGTTTGTCTGTCTGGGACAGATTTTGATGAAATTTGGTATGATGATAGCTGGTTATCCGGGTCAACATATAGGCTACTTTTTACCACGGGAAAATATCTCATTTCTGAGAAAAAATACAAAAACACAAAAACTGCATTGTAAGAGTATACTAATATGTAAAACCTAAGAATTAGGTTTTTGGTCATCCGAACGCGGGCGGAGCCGCGAGCAATGCTAGTTTGTTTATATAAATTACTAGTGACGCACCCTCTCTCCGCTCGGGATTGTTTCTAGATACGTTCCAACGGTTACTATAGATTTCTCAGAGATGAGATATTTTCCTGTAGTTAAAAGTATGTTGACTCGAATAACCAGCTATCATCGTACAACATTTCATCAAAATCTGTCCAGTGTTATTCTCGTGATGCGTTCCCAGACAGACAGACAAAAAAAACTATAGATTCGGCCTCTGTAACGAAAAAAATGACTATTTCAATAAATAATATTTTCCAACAAACATTTAATATAACTACAGATTCGACTCTAGTTAAGTCAGAATTTTTTTTGATTTCTCGAAAATATCACACGATATTTTGTGTCGTCTTTATATTAAAAAGGCATGCTTTCCAATTTTATTTGGCAAAATGTCTAAAACACAAGATACTTGCTAAAAATCGATGCAAATTTTAGAACAGTGTGCAGTCTGATCTTTTACTCTTAACGTTTCAAGCTACCTACGGCATTATGTATTAAATTCTAACGGAAAGCAAGCTGTAGTTGTGAAAGGATTTAGTCATCTAACATTTTAATGTTAGATGACTACGAATAAGAACTCTGCACATATGACACGAAATTCAATACAATGCTTATGTAAACCCTAAATTGAACGAGAAAATGTTGCTCAGAATGAATGAAATATGAAAATGATTCAGATGCAAAGTAGGTCTTTATGTGCGACTAGCAACTCACTTTCGTTTCGGGTCCATCCCTAGACAAAAACAATCTATCCCACGGGAACCGTACATTTTTCCGGGATGACATATAGCCTATAGCCTTCCTCAATAAACGAGCTATCTAATGTAAAAAGGATTTTTAAATCGGATTAGTAGTTCCTGAGATTAGCACGTTCAAACGAACAAAGTCTGCCTGTTTGTAATCTTCTATAATATAAAAATGAATCGCTGAATGTGTTGGTAAGCGCAAATCTCGAGAGCAGCTGAACCGATTACGCTAATTCTTTTTTTAGAATATTCCTTGAAGTATGAGGATGGTTCTTACGGAGAAAAAAAAATTAAAAAATTGCCTGAAAAAGTCTAAAAACAACACTTTTCTATACTCCCATACAAAAGATTCGTAATAACACTTAAAAGACAATTTGAACTTTAATACCATACCATAAAGTTTAAGTGTTAGTGGAGAGGTTCCGGGAAGGCAAATAATTGAGTGACGTTAGTATCGTATGAATATTAATGTCAATATTATTAACAAAAAAAAAAATTATATGGCTAACGCTGGCTAATAACTATTTATATCTATTTAAAACGTACCCAGCGATGAACCCGAGCGAAGCGAGGATGAGCCGCTAGTATTAGTATAGATGTGACCTATGCCAAGAGATATTTTCTAAATCGTCGTCATGTAGCATACCAATATAATAGGCGAATGGGCTGTTTACTATGCTGGCTCACAGGATCGGGGGCGCGCGTGACGTCACGTATGACATAACCGACCCACGAAGGCTGCCTACGCGTAACTAAATATAGATCTTTTATATAGGCTTTGAGAACTTTCTTAATGTACTTGACATTATTCGTTAACTTTTACTTTAATCGATTCAATTGTCAACATAATTTTTAATCGACTTTCAAAAAGGAAAAGGTTCTATGTTCGTCTGTATATGTTTTTTTTTAATTTATGCTATTAACTCTCCTATCAAATTAAATTTTCAATTTGAGGTTTCATTTGTAAAAAAATATAGGCCGGAAAGTGACATAGGCAGAATTTCACAGATATCAAAAACTAATAATATCCACTTTGTGTTCCGATGCTGCACGAAAAGTTATGAAACCACCAACAAACTAACATACTTGCTCGTTTAAAATATTGGTTAAAGGAGTTTGAAGTGGACAGTGGGTTTTACGTTTAAAACCATTTTTATGCCATTTATACATCTTGTATGACAAGTTTACTTTGTCATAATTATGTACACTCTATCATTACAGTCTTATGCTGGTCAGCTTATAGTGTCGTCCACAAGAAGAAATCTGTTACTAGTTTTGGTCTGGCGCCAGAAAAAGATAAACACTTTGAATGTCACAAATTAAATATCAGTTAATAATAATTGATATATTATTACAGATACAGTTTAAGCAATATTATACAGGCCTCTTATTTTATGACATTATATTAAAACGTAACAGTGGAATAAAAATTTAGACTTAGTCTGAGACTAAGCTTATATACCTACCTAACTTTCGCTACTTTGCACTATCGCATTTGCCAAATATTTCTTTTTTTACACTGGTCTCTTAATTTACACTCCGTGATATTATATTAATATGCAAAACAGATAATATATTTTGATTTACACACTAGCGATTCTTTAAATTGTCATATTTTTTTTTATTTATGAACCGATTGAAATAAAACAAATACTAAATGTTAAGTGAAGCCACGATACATTAGTGAAAACCGCACCCAAATTGGTTAAGTCGTTTCTGAGATTAGCGCGCACAAACGCACGGACAAACAGACAAAAATTCTAAAAATCATTGTTTTGCGTTCTATTACGTTAATAAAGACCTCCAAATAATAGTTTTTCTCAAGTATCTTCTATGTACAGACAGCGATTAGTTACAATTTTATTATACATATATTTTTATACTGTAATTTAGTAATTCATATTTTTTTTTTAGGTTTTTTCGTTATCGTTATAGATAAAAGCCGTTCCTCATTGTTACCGTAGGTTAAATCTCGTTTTTTGTAATATTAAGTTTTTTTGTATATGCATGCTGTGTCTGCATCTAAAAAAATGCAATCTTGTGTATTAATTTTGCAAGCTATTCTTATTTTATATATGTTTGATTGTCATTTGTTTTGTGGATCAATAAACATCTATACATACAATAAAATTGTAACTAAGCCGAATCTGTACATTAAAAGTTTTTCGGAAAATCTATAGTTCTATTTATATATAGGAATCTATAGTTTTTAGAATTTTTGTCTGTCTTTCTGTCTGTCTGTCTGTCTGTCTGTTACCGCATCACGGAAAAACCACTGGAGGGATTTTGATGTAATTTGGTATGATGGTAGCTGGTTATCCGGGTCAACATATAGGATACTTTTTATTGCTGGAAAATATCTCATTTCTGTGAAAAAATACAAAAACTGCAATGTAAGAGTATACTAATATATAAAACTTAAGAATTTGGTTTTTGGTCATGAACGCGGGCGGAGCCGCGGGCAATGCTAGTGAATAAATAAATAAATAAATAAATAAATAAATAAATAAATAAATAAATAAATAAATAAACACTGTACGTCATGTAAGGCGCGCACATTAAGCGACTCCGGCAGCTATCAATCAATGATAAATCGTGAATGTCACACCGCAACGATCATCGTGCCGTCGTCGGTGTATCCGTCATCGTCAGTGTGAACCAAAACAATGTGTACAGTTATAATTCAGCAGCTCGCCTTCGCCTTGACCTTCTCGGCTCGCTGACCTTGCCTAATGAATATGTCTTGAAGAGATCAAGGATTGCGATCATAGTTACTACTGTACGGGTCAATTTTGTTAATTTATTATACTAGCTATTTAATTAATTGAACCAGAAAATTTTGCTCAGAATAGTTAATGAAATATGAAAATGATCTAGGTCCAAAGTATGTAGGTTTTAATTTGCGGTATGGACCTATGTCAAGAATTGCGATCAAAGTTAGTGTACGGGACAGTTTTGTTAATTTATGATACTCACAGCTAACATATAACGTATTTTTTTTTACTTAATGATTATGATACTTTCTTAGATTTACGCGAATACTTGATATTTTAAATAAAACTATCTTTTCGGATTTTTGATGATTATGATTAAAATCTTACTGTCTTCCCCTTTTTCTTTATAATCGGACTCCTCTTATGAATGCGGAAGTTTGTATATGTATGTGTGTGTAACTCCTTTACTCTGAAACGGCTGGTAGGATTTAGGTGAAATTTAGTACGCAGATAGTCTATGACCTGGAGTAATATAGGTACTTTAGGATTAACTTGAGCGAAACAAAAAATGTTACTAGTAATGAATTAAACAAATCCTATTACAGATCAAGCGTCGGTTTAGTTAGGATCCCAATATTTTGTGCTTAGACATTGAAAATTAAGTGCATTCGAATGACAAACTATCGGCTAGCATCTCTTGTTTATGAATATATGATTATATATAAGCATGACGGGCGAACTCGTTAAGGTCATATCGCTTATAGTTCTTAAATGCACTATTAAATAAATTAACGTTATGTATACATTTATATTTCTAGCTAAACTTCATCCAGGTACAAAGTAACAGCATGTTTCATATATAAAAACAAATATATACAAAACTAAAGTTTGATGATTCAAAAGCAATCGACAAACTCTATTGAAAAATAAATAGATATATAATGATTTGAATTGACCCAAATCATCCGATACGATTCAAGAGCCAAATATCGTACGCGTTGATGTTATGTCAGAATATTTCGTGCACATCGCTCGTCTCGCCGATGTTTCGTCTTAATCTAATGAATGGTATCGAAATGCCTCATACCCATATGTATCGTCTCTGTTAGAATATGAATATTTTCTCCTCATCTTTTTGTTTATTATTGTAGATTTCTGCAATTGTAATGGTGGTTTTATATCAATCAAGTACTAAAAAAAATTACCATAAGAATTTCGTTATATATTAGCTTTTAGATAGCTCTAATGAACTTAATCAATATCGAGTCGGTGCCAAGCGGTCATTTTGCACATCATTAAGGTGCACTAAACTAAAAGATTAACTTAAGGTTTATTTGTTTATCGACAAAACTAGACTTGAAAGGGACGCGATGAGCAATCTAAATATGGAGTGATAATACTATAGTTTGTTAGATTTTACTGCAAAATTAAAGAAATAAGATAATTTACATGATTTCACAATTGGCGAAAATATTTGCCACAACAAGAAATAGAAAAATGTTTTCCTTCTTTTCTAAATCGATAAAAATATATTTAAGTTACAATATTCCAAGTAAAATATATTAAACAAAATATTTATATCATTTCCAGTTTCTGCAGTAATCACGGCAACAAATGTCCGCGGCCGGGCACGGCGCCTGCGGAGCTCATGTGCGTCGCGGAGGCGATGATGCCGCGTCTCATACTAAGGCTATTGCAACATTTTAGAGAAAATAGGTAAGTATCTTATTGTTATTTAATTTATTTAGTAAAATAAATTGTAAACGAGGCAGTAGCCTCGTTGGTCTAATGATAATAATTTATGACTGTAGATAGGTTTTGGGCCCGAATCCTGGGTCGGGGCAAAACAGTTATTAGGTTTTTCTGTCATGAAATGCTCAGTAGTTGGTAGCCCCGGGTTAAGAAGACTGCGACGTATACACCTCCGTGCCTCGATGAGCACGTTGTCGATCCTACGCCGGATCTCTCAAGAGTCGAATCGAATTATTTTTATCATAGGAAAACGAGATTGAAAGGAATAGAGAGTGCACTTTTGTCCGTTTATAAACTGGCATTAAAATATTTCCGCGCAGACTTTAATGTCTCTTAGTGATATCAACCGCCTCGACCAAAATCAGTTCTTATTCTCTCTGGTATTAAAAAAATCGACTTCCCAAGAGGGTATTGACAGGCTATACGTGTCTTTCGAAAACTAGCCAGGTTATCTTAGACATGCGGTGTTCTTCACGATGTTTCCGTTTACCATAATGTGTCAGAGGTGTGCGACCAGGTACCCGCTTCACTTGGTTTTCTAAGCGAGTGCGCTTGGAATCTCACTGGGCTACTACTGCAAAATCGGTTAGAATTATTGTTAGTATATTTAGAAATATTTTTGCTTAACAGCACGGCAGCAAGTTCAGACAACTACCGCGTGGCGGTGCAGGAGTGCGAGGGCTACGTGCAGATGTTGATGGAGTTCAACAACATGGGCGACCTCATGCGGTCTGCGATGACCAAAGCGCTTATAAATCCACAGGTACTTTAAATAAAACTATCTTTTCGGATATCTTTGCGAATTTATTTAGATTTTTAGTTCCCGACGTTTCGAATGCTTTACAGCAATCATGGTCACGGGAGAGACTGGTATTGTCATATTGCAATAAAGCTACTTATTAGGTACATAAATAGTATGTTTACAACCTGACACTGCCTCTGTACTGTTGCTGGTTTCATTTCATATTAAATTATAAATAATATTATACGAAGAATCGCATTTGATCTAATGACAACTATTCAAACATTGCTTATGAAAATGTAAATTGTTAAATTAGAAGTTATAATATATAATATATTGTATATATTCCAGATGTACCGCAACCTGGTGTCGCCGCCGCATCCCGACACGGAGTACGGCATCTACATGGCGGAGTCCAACAACATGTACGAGCGCGCCATCGACTCCTTCCCCGCGCCCGACCCGCCCGACGAGTTAGTATTGGTTCATATTCAATACTAGCAGTACCTGTGGCTTCGCCCGCGTTCAAACCTCCTATTGTTACTAAATTGCACAGGATCAACCGCTGGGCTAATCTGAAGATTGCTTGAAAATTTCATCAAAATCGCTCCAGCCGTTTTGGAGTCCATGGGGAACATACATACACACATTGATTTTTATATTATATAGGTGGACACACTCACCTGTCTCCTTTATCTAAAGATCCTAGACTATAGTGGCTAGCATATGTAGGTCGTGGGGTCGAGTCCCGGGTGTTTTTGCCACTTTTATTGCGAGTGTCGAATTTTTCTCCTTCGTCCGTCAATTCTTAAACCGGTATTTGGTCATTGACCCCAAGGTCTAAACCGAAAAGCTTTTCGGTTATGTTCTTTCCGGAAAAAATCTGGAAAATAGTTTTTGACGAATTTGGTTCTATGATCGAAATTCAAAATTAACGTCTTAAAATGAGTTTTGTGCGTTTACATTTGTTATAATAATATATTTTTTATAGATATCGCCATTTACCAGCACTAGCCCCACGACTCCAACACAACACATTATTAGATGAATTCATCTTCTGGACATTCAAATATGAGTTTCCACAGAATGTGGTTTGCTTCTTACTCAACATGTTGCCAGATCAGGATTATAAAGTAAGTATTCTTAATACTGAACAGGTATAAACATTAAAATAACTAAAACATTCTATTTTATTTAAAAAATATTTATCTTAAAGAAATTTGTGAAATAGTCTTGTTTATAGCTTTTTTTACTTTACCCGAAAGAAGTTCAGTTAAAACGTAAAATATCATGGTTGTGTCGTCAAGACGAGTATACTGCGCCAATACAAACTTATATAAACGCATATAATGAAAGCTTAGCAAGTTTTCGCAAGACATGCTCAGTCCGTCCAAGACCCGTATTTGGGCAGCGTAGTTGACTTATAGCCTGATACCCCTTATATAGAAGGGAAGCCCGTGTCCAGCAGTGAGACCTTGAAAAGGGCTGAATATTAGGGTATTATTCAGTATCTAGTAATTTAGAGAAAATATATATAATTTATCAATATATCTTGATTAGTTTGACGACACGTTTGGCTCAATTTGTAGTGACCCTACTTGCTGTGGTCGTGCTGGTGGCGGCTTCGAGTCCCGCTGGGGGTATTTATTTGTATGAAGAGCACGAATGTTTGTACTCCAGTCATGGTTATCTATATTTATATTATATATATGTGTAGTGTATCAAGTATCTGGTATCCAGGAGCACCTGACGCGCACGTTCGTGATGCACTACGCGCGCATCCCGCTGGTGCTGGAGAACTCGGCCGACCCCGACACGCTGTCCAACCGCGTGGTGCACATGTCCGTGCAGCTGTTCTCCAACGAGGCGCTGGCGCTGCGCTGCGTGCAGCAGCTGCACCTGCTGCACGTCATGGTGCTCTCGCTGCGCCTCATGATGGGCAAGATCCTCGTGCAGAACACGCTGCACGACCCCGACACCAACTTCCACTACGTCATCGACTGCACCAAGAGGGTCATGAAGGAGCACTGCTACTGGCCGCTAGTCTCGGATTTCAACAATGTGCTCTCACATAAAAGTGTGGCGCTTTTGTTTTTGCAAGATGACGCGTTGGTGGATATGTGGTTTCAGTTTCTCTCGATGTTGCAAGGTTAGTGCTTGTTTTGATTGTTTTGTGATAGTTTTGTGTGTTTTTAATTGTTTATATTTAGTTAAAAATACAATACGTACGAGTGTATATGGAATATCTATTATCTGTGATGTAAAAGTAATTTTTAAGGTTTAATATTTTAAAAGGATAATACTGAACACTTATGAGTACACTCATTTTTATCTGTGCAATTCATACCCAATTTTTTCAAATCTATAGACGGCTTAAGTTGATAGTCTTGATACATATTTTTTAAACACGTAGATGGGTTTTAGGGTGTTAAATGTTCTTGCCATATTTCCAAAGCGACTAGGTCTATAATTCATACTACTATTATAAAGAGGAAAGATTGGTATTTTTGTATGTTTGTAACGAATAAACTCAAAAACTATTGGACTGATTAAGATAAAATTTGGTAAGAAGATAGTTTGAGATCTTTTATTTCGGAAATCATCCTTTAAGGCGGTAAAAATAGGCACGATAGTTTGTATGGGAATGAACCTAGGGACCACCCGAGCGAAGCGGGGGTGAGTCGCTGGTCGTGTATGTGTGTCGAACAATCGTCCCACCGGAGTGTGAGAGTGACAGGAACAGAGCTCTATATAATATCTCCGTGTGTGTGTGTCCCCGTGCGCAGGCATGAACGTGAACGTGCGCGAGACGGGCGGGCACATCGAGTTCGAGCCGTCGTCGTACTACGCGGCGTTCTCGTGCGAGCTGGAGGCGGCGGCGTACCCCATGTGGAGCGTGCTGGCGCACCTCACGGAGCCGGCGCACGCCGCGCCCGCGCGCCGCATGGTGGCCGCCGCGCTGTCCTACCTGCAGGACTGGCTGCACGCCGTGGGCTGCGCGCGCCCCGCCGGCAGGTACAAGGCTATATATGTATTCCTTTTTAAATAAAATTATGTTATGTAATGTATGTTTTTATATTTATAAATATTTGTGTATATATTATTATCCAATTGGATGAGATTTTAATGAATAGTTTAAATTAGTATTATTATATTAGTTACTATTCACGATACACGATTGTATCATGTTGGCTTCATGTAAAATTCACCAACCAGTCATTATACTCTGTAATTAATTAATTACAGAACTGACCTATTTTGACCTCCTGTTTCACGCTTATGTAGACTAACTATATTGTATTGTATTCAGTCCTTTTAAACGTCTTTTAAAGTAGTTTTTTTATACGAAGGGGATCAGGCCATAGTCCGCCACGCTGGCCAAGTGCGAACCCGGGATTTGAACCCGCTTCACTCGGTTTCCCAAGCGAGCGCGCTACCACTAGGCTACCACTGCCTAACTAAATTATATACCTATATTACTTATATAGTTTTAAATAGTAACATTGTATTGTATGTCGCAGCGCGGCGGGCGCGGTGGCGGGGCGGCAGGCGCACGCGTCCTTCCACTTCCCGCTGCACCGCTACCTGGCCGCCTTCCTGTGCTGCGGCGTGCGCGCGCTGCGCCTGCGCGCCGCCGACGTGCTGCCGCCGCCGCCGCTGCTGGCGCTGCTGGCGGCGCACCCGCTGCGCGTGCAGGTCGGTAGTATAACAAAAACAAAGTCGCTTTCTCTGTCCCTATATCCCTACGTATGCTTAAATCTTTAAACTACGCAACGGATTTTGATGCGGTTTTTTAATAGATAGAGTGATTCAAGAGGAAGGTTTTAGTATATAATTTGTTAAATTTTTGTATACATTGGCTAAAATATAACGATATTTGTTGGAAGTGTCGGAAAAAATAGCCGTCTGGGAGCTTTTAACGAAAACGATGCCTGAACCCTTTGAGATATAACAAAATAATGTATGCCTGGTAGTACCCTATGTGTTACTTGCACGTCATTATCTATTTATGCACTAAATTCTATATAAATCTGTCCAGCCGTTTCGGCGTAATGGAGTAACGAACATACATACTTACAAATCTTCGGATATATATTTGTACTCCGGTTCTTCGTGTTGATCCGTATTTATTTTACATTTTATTTATAAATTTAACATACGATAAGTGTTGGTATTTATCATCAAGATGGGAGAAAGTCATAATATGTAAGCAAGTAGATATTGAATATTATTATATCAGGTTTAAAGAATGTAATACACAATAAATCACGTCAATCTGTCACTCTGTTTCGACGTGAAAGAAGGACAAACAAACACACTTTCAGATTTATAGTGTTTGTATGGAAGTATGGATATGGATTCATTAAAATGGTATTTATAATCATTTGGCAAATATTATATAATATTTTTTTTTATTGGTAACATTCAGTTTTCATTGTGATGTTTGTTAAAACTAGGAATATTCCTAGTTTTAACGTCTAAATTTCGACTCTCAAAGAGGTCAATAAATCCTTCATGGGCCTGAGTATGTGCATAAATAATAAGATTCGACTGACTGTCTGATGCCCGATATCACCAACAACCCATAAGCTACCACCTACGTATGCGATCCCTAGCTTTAAAGTCCCCTAAATTAAATTTCGTTTTACGATCGTCTTTAAGCCCATATTTCGAGCATCTAAATTTAGGGGGCCTTTTAATATTTAGGTGACCCCTAACTGTCGGTGAAACAGAAACTGTCCCCTAAAACAGCCTCCTAACCATGCTTAGGAGATCCCTTAAACTTAGGTGACGTTGGTGAAATCGGGCATGAGATTCGTTTTTTCAACAATGTAAAGATAATATAAAAAATATTTTAACAATTAAAACATTAATCTGTTCAAGAATTTCTCGTTGATGAAAATGTCTAGAATTAATCTACTATATTGACTCATGCGGGCTATCTATAATGTTATGATATTAAAATCTATCTATATCTTTACATATAATAAAGTTCTAACTGAGTCGAATCGGTTCATTAAATATTTTTTGGAAAATCTTATTGAAATAGTCAGTATTATCGATGCAGAGGTCTAATCTATAGGTGTTGGATTTTTTGTCTGTCTGTCTGTCTCTCTGGGAACGCATCACGAGAAAACCACTGGACGGAATTGGATGTAATTTAGATGGTTTCATAATAGGTGGTTATCCGGGTTGATATATAGGACACTTTTTACTGCGGGAAAATATGTCATCTTTGCGATATCTATATACTAACCGTTAAAACGTATCTCGGGTCTAGGGTCGAACCCGCGCGGAGCGTGAGTGAATCGCTAGTAAATAAATAAAAATTTTATTTAAATTAAATTGACGTTTCACAAGTGTTTGTATAAGTCTAGTTAAAAAATTAATATTTCATTATTAAATTTTCACTTAGAACGAATAACTGAACGTTTAGATTATAAATAATAAACGAATTACCCTTAAATAAATTTATTATTAAGCCATTATTTACTACACAATGAGTATGCAAGTTAAACTACGAACTAGAAATTGTTAGATGGTAATACGATGTTCTCCGTCTCGCCCAACGCGTAGTTGGGCGGCTGCTCCGCCCTCACGTGGCGGGAGTAGTCGTACGTGAACAGCTTGGCGGCGACGAAGCCGCCGGAGTCGCGCGCGCCGCGGTGGATTATGCCGGCCCCGCTCAGTAACGCCGCACCTGTCATTTTTTTAATAAAAAGGTTTTATTGTAAAAGCTCTCATTAGTAGCCTGCCATTTTTTTTTCAAAAATCTTCGAATGTCTCAGAAACTTTTTGTATTCTATTTGAAATTTTGAAAAAAGAATATAAATGGCGGAATAGTGCCAATGTTTTATGGTTTTATCTCCTTTTATAACTGGTTTTTGTTATAAAATTGACTGTGAATAAAGTTTACTTTGAAGTTTTGTTAAGATTTTAGATATCTAAATGCCTATTTTTGTACGTAATTTTCAACAATTAAAGTTATGAAAACAAACCTTTCATCGGCTCAAGAGGCTGAATATCGATAAATGGTACGGTGCTCTGTGCCGCGTCCGCTTCGAAATCACTGTGTGTGAACTCCAAGTACTGATCGTGTTTTGAGTCCACTCGTAAGGGCGTTTTGCTGCGCGTCGGGATGTCCGGCTTGTGGAGGCTCAAACGGGATCTGAAATTATATTTATTGAATTACGTTTATTGAAATATAATCGACATTTTTATATTTAATATTTCATCCTAAAACCTCACCTAGGTATTTCAGCGCCTTCGGTATTATCGTTACTTATCCACTGGCTTCTCTCTGGAGCAAGACGTCCAGTTGTGTAGTTAAAAGGTGTGGAACGTATCTCGAAATGTAAATGCGCGCCGATCATGCGGAACCTTGAAATATTTTAGTAAAATGTTATATGTATGTCTATAATAATAATAATTTCTCCACGCAAGTCGTCTAATGGACCGGGTCCCTTCGAGCCCGTGAAATCCCAAGAAACACAAATAATAATAATAATAAAATAATCATGAAGAAATTGTATCAATTATTTACCTGACGCCTGTCAAAATGTGTCCCAAGGGCGAATCTAGTTCGTCCAAGTCGATTGCTCTCCTCTCGTAGGTCAATGTGTGATAATCAATTCCATCCCGAATACCATGATCAGATATATCGAATTTCTGTATCGGCACCCAACTACCGGGAGTGATCGACCCCCTCTCTCCTAACACTCCTTCGCTTATCTGCAGGTGAAAAACTCTTCCATACTTGACGAGACGCAATCCGGTGACCACCCTTGAAATTTAAAATTTAACATTATATGTTAAATGCAACAGTAATAGAAGCTTCGATGTATACATAGTTGGACACCCGCACACCCATGCTATTAGCACAATAAGCTATATAGCCCGCGATAGAAAAGCTTTAGAAAAGAACCCAAAAGATGAAGACTGAAATTTGCCTAAAGTTAGTACTAATCTACGATATGATAGAGTTATATTATATGGTCGCGAAAAGTGACGTGATCTCCAGTCAGATATATTACTGACTTGTTTTTCTCAATCTCAGCCGATGCCTCTCGCAAGCTGAAGGAGCGTTCGGACGAGTCGATATCGTCCTCGCAAAGACAAAAGCAGTACGAGCAATGGAGGAGATTCCATCTCCACCAAGAGTCCACCTTAAGACGAAAAATTATTATTAGTCAAATCTATCAATATTAAATTTATAATTCCTGTAAAAACTAACAAAATTAATGTAATTCTTCCTAAAGGCTCCTAAGTGTGCGGGTGTCCCAAAGTATTGGACACTAACTTGTTATTTTTGACATCTGATGTAGTTTCCCATAAGCTAAAATATCGATGAGAGTCTGGGCCCGCCTCGTCGCATAGACACATGCAGTAGGAGCAGTGCCAGAATAGCCAACGCCACCAAGACTCAACCTGAACAGAGCTTTCATGATAATATTGATACATGTTGATACCATCTTTATATTAAATATTCGATTAATAAACTTTATGTACTTTTCGTAATTTTGCTCCTGTTCAAAGCAATATTAAAAAAAAGTCTTTTGTGCTACCTGAGTCACTCCACGCGTGCAAACCCCTGGCTGACCCATTGTCCTGCCATTTTCATACTCTATCCACTCGTACCGGCGATGACTGTCTCTTCCCTGTGGTTGATATATTAAAATTTGAATACGTTAAATTATTTTATTCTTACGAAAACTATAATAATGATAGTATATTTGTTTTTTCTTCTACCAGAAATTTTGTCTTACCACGAGGGCAGGTAGGTGCAAGTGTTTCATAGATGTACTTACTCAAAAACTTATTGAAAATACACAACTATTCGACTTAATTAGCGGTTTATCAAGTGTAATATACTAACCGCTTGGCATATGAACATGTCCGAATCAATATAGTTACAGTCAATAATTCTTCCTTTACATTTAGTTTGTTTGGCACAGAACTGATCTTTGAAACAACCGTGATTCTCAGCGACCGTGTAATAGGCACAATTCTCCTTGCAGGTATTATCCGGGTTCATGTCCACTTCATTCTCAATGTAACCTTGGAGCAGTCTTGTTACTTCTTCGTATGTTTCCCCTGGAATATATTAATAACATTTTTAAAAGCGTAAATTAACAAGTAATAATATCTTTTGACCGAATCCTAAGTATGGCAAAGTATTTTTTAACAGTCTAATAGGACGATTCCGACACGTAATTATTTTACAGTATTTTATATTCAGGTTTTAGATATTTATATATACTAGCATTGCCCGCGGCTCCGCCCGCGTTTAGATTACTAAATACCAAATTCTTAGGTTTTACATATTAGTATACTCTTTACTTTACTCCATTGCAGTTTTTGTATTTTTTCTCAGAGATGAGATATTTTCCCGCGGTAAAAAGTATCCTATACTAGCATTGCCCGCGGCTCCGCCCGCGTTCAGATGACCAAAAACTAAATTCTTAGGTGTTACATATTAGTATACTCTTACATTGCAGTTTTTGTATTTTTCCTCAGAAATAAGATATTTTCCCGCGGTAAAAAGTATCCTAGGATCGCGCGCTACATCGCCCGGTTTATATAGCTTGAGCAGGCGGTCGAGCGATGCGGGGCAGAGGGGATGGACTCGCCGTAGGCATCTCAATGCTCGCCAAGCATTAAAAATGTTTCGCTACTAATTACTTCTAACAACGATATCTCAAAAACTATTCATCTGATTGATTTAGTGTAAAGAGCAATTTTAATCTGCATTAAATGACTAAGCTAACTAAAATATTCATTTGGATAAGGATTAATACCGAACTAAAGAAAATAACTTTGAAAATAACGTAATGTTTTTAATTAAAAATGTTAACATAAAAGTGGTTATTGTAAGTCAACCGTAAGAGATAGAGATATGCTATCGCGGACTTTTTTGTAGCATTTTTATAGATTTTGAATTCTCTAGTACATTACTTAACTGTATCTTTGCTAGTTTACGCGGCGTTCGCGTGGAAAGTTCCCATTTGGCGAGATTTTTTGCGACCTCTTCAACATTTGTCGCCGTATTTCAGCTAATTTACATAAAAGCATAATAAATTATATACCTAAACCTTCCTCAAGAATTACTCTTTCTATTGTTGAAAACCGTATAAAAATCCGTTCAGTAGTTTTCGAGTTTATCGCGTACAGACAGACAGGAGGACAGACAGGAGGACAGAAAGACGCGGCCGGGGGACTTATTTTTATAATAAGTATAGATGTTGACCCGGATAACCAGCTATCATCATACCAAAGTTTTTCCGTGATGCGGTAACAGACAGACGGATAAAAATACTAAAAACTATAGATTCGGCCTCTACATCGATAATAATGTCTATTTCAATAAGATTTTCCAAAAAATATTTAATGTACAGATTTGGCTTAGCTTTGGTTACCTCGCTTATGTTCAGATGGGTCACACCGGTACATGTCCCGCCTGGCCATAGCTAGTGCAGATCGAGCAGCGGCTGCAGTTTTAGTAGTTCTCTCTCCATACCTTCGGCGCGTCAAACTCGCTTCCTGCGTGTAATTCCCTGAAAATAAAATATTATATTATAATAATACAATAATGTTTTCCACTTGGAAGGATATTTATAAGCATATCGCGCTATTTAAATATGGCGAGGGTGATAACCTTATAAAGTTTCTATTGGCGTATTAGGACAATTCTTCCGCAAATGTGGTCACTGTAACAATGGAAACTTTAGGGATTTAGGGATAAATATATTGCTCGGTTAGTTAGATAACTGGAAACATGGTAGCCTTATAGGTTATTTATGTAACGTACAAATTATTTCTATCGTGATTTTTAAAACAGAAACGTGAGCGCGCTTTGTTGTCATTATTACTATGCCATAATATTATTATAGTATGATTTATGCTTTGAGACTTCGTGTTTATACTTATAACCTGCGACTTACTCTTGCTTTGTTCGGGTGCGTCCTTAGGTACGCTTTAAGTTTATTTATGTAACCCTAATTCATTTTCTAAAATAAAAGTAGCCCAAGTTATTTCTGACGCCTAACATCAGCTATCTGCCAGTGAAAGTCCCGTCTAAATCTGTCCAGCCGTTTCGGAGATTAGCCGGAACAAACAGACAGACAAAAATGTAAAAAAAAAAATTGTATAAGTACCGTATATAATCCCATATGTATTTAGTAAAATGCTTGTTATTTTGATGTCCAAACAGACACTTATATTTATCTGTATACACTTTATACCTATAAATTTAACAGAATTTTAATACTGTCAGGGATAAATTATCTATTCAACAGGGATCACGGGTTTGATTCTTGTCCCATTTTAACTATAACATACTGTGTTTAATGCAAAATAATAATAGCCACACTTCACTAATATTTGTTGGTATCTTTCTTTACATTAGTAATTCAGTCCGCCGTGCAATGCTGTCTTAGCTTTCAAACATACAGTTGCGGAAATTGTGTAGTAATTATACCCACTGACGGTAATTACTTGGTAAATGCCTCATTATATCTAGTAAATTATATTAATTAAAATTTTTATTTTCTTCTTTTGCTACAATTTAACAAAACTATACCTTTGCCGTAAATCCTGAGTAACATCCAAGAAAACTGCATCATAGCATAGCCCTTGATCTCTGTCAGAGATATAGTGTTGTACATGTCGTATATCAGCTGATGCTGCGACAGCTGTAGCTCACAAAGATCCGTGTTTTGTTCCTGGAAGATGTGTTCAAAATTATACTATTTAACTCTGTAGTATTGTTTGCAGAAGGATAAATTGCATTCAGAGTAAAAGTTATTTTAATAATAGACCCAGTTGTGCAAAAAAGAGCCATGTGCGTAAAAGTACCAACAGAGTTATAAGCATTTTATTATAAAAAATAAAATAATTATAAAAAATAAACAATACTTATATAAATATTGTTCAATTTTAAAATAACTAGAAAAACAAAACATAACCCAAGTGCAACTATCGACAGAAAAATGCTTATAACTCTGTTGGTACTTTTACGCACATGGCTCTTTTTTGCATAACTGGGTCCAATTGTTCAAGCGAAACATACTGAAAAGCAAGTTAATTATTATTTATATATATGTACATTGACTCAGCAAAACACATATTTGGCTTCGTAATGTTCAAGGAATCCACGGATATGTACAAGATTTCTCACATAAATGGATATTCGTCGCGTTCACTGTTTTTATAATCAACTCGTGCACGTAACTTTGTTTATATTTGCTTACCAATGTTTAGACTTACGATATCGGTGTTGATGTGACATTTTGTCGATTTGATGATAATTAATTATTAATTGTGCTTATTTAATTAAAATTAGTTTATTACGTAAGATACAGCAATAACAAATAAATTATAAAACGGAAGTGTACAAGTAGGGCGTTTAGAATTAGGGTTACGTATTTTGAATATGACATTTTAAATATAACGCGACATTTATTTAATTCGGACTTCTAGCTAACTATATTTTTTTATTAATCACTAACTCTTGCTCAATGCGATGTGAACAACATAAATATTGGGTCACTGACTCCATCCAAACAGGGCCACTCGGAACGACTGCGTTCCGTCGCCTTTGTTTTCGTTACTTTCTGATTATCCTTTCAGAATATTAAACGGTGTTTAGACACTCTCATTGCAAAAACAATTTATAATACCTGTAAATAACCACGGAATATATCACCGTATTCCAGTAAATCGTTGATTTTCTTCTCCGCCTGGATGAGGGGCGACTTGTGATCCGTCATCTCCTGAGCTAAGTCGAGCCACTCTCGGACAGGCGCGGGCACAGCCCCGGGCTGCGCCTGACGCTTTGCAAATGTTATGAAATTCTTGTAGTAACCCTCGATTATTCGCAATTTTTCCATCGTCTTTGCCCACAGCCACGTCTCGAGCGGAATACGCGGAGGTGTCGGCACCGTTTGTATTTGCTCATCAAAAGCCACAAAGGCCTTTGTTACCTCCACGTCTCCGCCGAGCCCCGCTAAACTCCACTCGGGATTTGTTACATTCAACCATAGTTCCTTTTCTACCGCGTAAAACTTATTGCGTACATTGTCCACCGCGGTGGGGTCGCTCGCGCTAACGATCGTCAGCAGCGCAAAAAGCGCCGCGTACCTCATATTGTAAAAGTGAAACGGTTCACGTCGCGGCCCGAAGCGCACTGACGAACGGAGGGGACCGGTCCGTCGACAGCCCCTCTAGTGATGACAAATTTATCGATATAAACACTGCCAACGTCATTGCACATCGTATCTCGTAATACCAATGAGACTATAGTTTTAATGATGCTGTTCACCTTGGTTTACTGGGCGACTTTCACTTTGAATTATGCGCAAGGCTAAGTTGGTTTAATGAGATTAAAATAATTTGACGATAATAATGTTTGTATCCGACGACTTTGAATGCTAAACTGTTGTTATTTTCTTAATCATATGTATATAAGCTTAATTTTATCGATATCGAGCGCTATTTCAACTGGACATCACCATCGACCCGCACGTTAATATTGTTAACTAAGCACAATCTCTATTTGCTTGCACCGTTATGTTTACGACACGGGGATAAGAGCGATTTTGTTACGAACGGATTCTCGGAAGAGATTTGGTATTATTATTTGCTCGCTTGCATGTCAGCTGACACCGTCACCTACCGAGTAATACGGCTTTAGTATTTTTATATTGTATGTAGAGGGTGACTAAATAGTGCTTTTGAGATAATGCAGTTATCGGCGATTGCTTTGCGCTCGCTGAACGGATGATTTCTAGAATAGTTACGTACTTTTGTATATTTTCTCGTAGAAATATAAAACGTTCTATTCTTATTAACTTTGTAAGTAAATTGTATATTTTTTAAATAACTTAATGCAATCTCTTGTAACGATATGAACTCACGATAATTAACAATTTTCTAAAAAATAATATATTTTTAAGGTTTTTAGAACGGCCTATGTAAAGCTTATATAATTAAGTGTCATCAGCTTAATTAATACATATTAAGCTCAACAACACAGATAAGCCTAGCGGCCATATTTGTTCAATTCTCAGAACACTTTTATAGAACATTTTCGTTGTAAATGTTATTTTTATCTGTAATTATTGCTTTCGGAAAGAGGTTATAAAAGTTTTACAATTAAGTAAGCATATATTAAGTTATTCGAAAAGAAATAGATTGGTCTTTTTTCTTTAAAAATACTCGAATACATATATAAATTACACCATATATAAATGTTTTTATATAAGTTCAAAGTACAGTAAATAAAATGTTGAATGTTATCAAATATCAATACAGGTTATGTATATTTTTTCAACCAAGCGTATGACAGAAAAATATTTGTTATCCATACAATGAAATCGTCAAGAATGATAAATTAATACTGTAAATATTATGATTACTGTCCGAATCGGTATTTCGCTACTTACATATAAACAAAACCAGGTATTACGATTCACTTATTGATTTAAAAGGCAGTTTCCTTTTCTCTCGTCACAATTTATCTTTTTTATACTATTTTAATGAGCATTTCGTAAGAAATATGTGTTTTTAATTCAAATATGCATAATCAAAATGAAAACCGCATCCAAATTCGTTCAGTAGGTTTAGTTTTCGAGTTATGCACTCAAACAATAGTATGTACGTACGTACGTACGTACACGCTGGCCGGAGACTTCCTTTCATATGTGTAGGGATTTATTTTGGACATTTGCCTATATATTCGTATGATCAGTTATATAATCAGTCAAATAACATATTATTAGAGAAATAATAATTTAAATTGAAACCATACAACGACCATCTTTGTAACTTTCTTTTCTTTTATTTATTTTTTATTGCTACAGACAGATATTTATCAAAAACTATATGTATATATTGTAGTTCGTTTGACCTCATCAATAAATTTATATTTTTAATTCCGGTCATTACACTAATGTATGTATATTGTATACTAATATTTACAGCTGAAGAGCTTGTTTGAACGCGCAAATCTTATCAAATACCAGTCTTATTTGAAATATTCTGTTTGCATTTAATGAGACAACTATGTATATAAAATTATGCTACAAGTTACGACCCATAAAAACGGGGGAATTTTACATAAAAATACTTATAAAATGACAAGTGAAGCAGAGGGCAAACGCTAGTTATTAATTAAAAATTCTAATTATATTATAAAATTTTACTATAGTTACCAAATATATTCTAAGAATTTTAGTTAACTTTATTGATGGACAATGGTATGACCGATTGTGCGCACGATTCTTGAAATACGATCTCGCTGATACCGTGCTGTTGGTTTAACAAACTTGGCCTAGATGCGGCGCACTATTAAATCGGATGTAGGTATTTCTGTTTGTACTTTGAAAAAAACACACTTTGAAAGTTAAATACAGTAAAAGGAAATTTTAAAATAAATCTGAATGTACAAAAATAATAATTAACACACTTCACATTTAATTAAATTAAAAAAGATTTATTTAAAGTTTAATTGTCTAAATTAAATTTATTATTAAACGTAGAACGCAGAATCTAATTAAATTTAATTAAATTTACGAATCAAAACGAAATTTAATTAAAATTCCATATTATTAAATGTAGAATAAGAACCTAACATTTATTGAACACTAGCGACTCACACTCGCTCCGCTCGGGTTCGTCCCTACTTATGTTTTAACGTTTAGTATAGATTTCTCAGAAATGAGATATTTTTCCGCAATAAAAAGTATCCTATATGTTAACCCGGATAACCAGTTATCTTCATACCAAATTCTATCAAAATCCCTCCAGTGGTTTTTCCGTGATGCGGAAACAGACAGACAGACAGACAAAAATTCTAAAAACTACAGATTCGTCCTCTGTATCGATAATAATATATATTTCAATAAGATTTTCCAAAAAATATTTCATGTACAGATTCGGCTTCGTTACAATTTTATCATATATATGGGTTTAGGTTATGTCTATTATAGGCTACAGTACAAACACAAGATTGGTGTATTAAATAAAAGTGGGTTTGAAGAATCGCACTTATAAAAATTAGGCTGAGAACATTTTCATTAAAAATTGCTTTATTGTATAAACATGGTAGTTTTTATTTTGATTAATTCATTATAGCAATCAATTATGCGCTTTCAATATGTACATATTATATTAATGCATCTGTAATGTGCATCATACTACGTACTAGAGACCGATGACGTTAAAATTAACCTTGCTCTAACCACTATCAAACACTTACATATCCGTTTAATTAAGTATCAATTATTGTATATAATTATTCTGTTTCAAATCATATGGTGGGAACTAATCAGCTATACGACTTATCTAACATAGGAAGAAAAACTTCTGACACCACGAGTCGCGACAAATAATGAATGTCATGCACAAGTCATATGGTATTTGGCTTAATTTAAAGAAAAAACTTTATTGTCTGTATAATTGTTGTATTTTAATTTAGTCAAAAGCATTAAATATGAAATGCTCTTTTCGTGGAAGCACCTAAATTCGATATCTTAATTTGTTACCAGGAAGGTAGTGAATTTGTTTCTATTTTTGTATGAGGTAAACTAACTGTAGGATATTATTATTCTACAAATTTTAAATATGAACGTTTGCGAGTGGGAATGTGTGTATGATAGTCATTACTTTGCATAGCAACGGTTTTACAAATTTGGAGTGCCTTATGGAATTCGTGTCTACCTACCACTAGTGGAACTGCGGAAAAAAATTGTATTTGAACCCATGTTAATAAAAACTTACAACCGTATTGAAAGACGCACGGTATGTGGGTTAGGTCAAAAAGAATAAGAGGGCGGAAGTGTGAAACTTGTGATATTAAGTATTTTTCAAACTAACAAAGCTCGATAGCGAAACGTTATCGTTGAACAAAGTTGCTTGACCCTTCCGCTGACTGAGTCTCAGATGAATGCTCATTGATATTCCAGTACGCTATACAGTACACGGCAACAAGTAACAAAGGAATTGATATCTACTTCATACATAACTTGTTAGTTGGTGATTTAATATGCATTTTTAGATGCCATTAAGAATTTTTGCTCCAATAAGAACTGGCCGAAAGAAATTAGGTAAAGCTTTCTTTTCACGTCTTCAAATTAAAATGTATGCCAAATATACGTCAGTAAAACTATCTTATTTCACTTTTCTGCGTATAACTACGCCTTCGTGAGTATAGAGAATGCTTTATATAATACTAGCGACTCACCCTCGCTTCGCTCGTGTTCGTCCCTAGGTACCTACGTTTTAAATTAAAATGGGTATAGTATGTTATCCTTAAGAGATAGACATATGCCATCGCGGACTTCTCTGTAGACCTATATAAGATACACAATTCCACCATACATTATTTTGTTTTATCTCAAAGGGTTCAGGCATCGTATTCGTTGAAAACTCCCAGACGGCTTATTTTTTTCCGACACTTCCAACAAATATCGTTATATTTTAGCCAATGTAAACAAAAACTTAACAAGTTATATATATACTAAAACCTTCCTCGAGAACCACTCTATCCATTGGCGAAAATAGCATGAAAATCGGTGCAGTCATTTTTGAGTTTATCGCGAACAGACAGACGCGGCGGAGAACCTTGTTTTATATTTAATATGTAGTGATTCAGTAATAGTTAGTTCCTAAATGTCTGGTTAGGAGTTATTCTAGATTCAATATTTACTTTGAACCCTAAAATTTCTCTACACGTTTAAAATTTGTATTAAATTAATGGAAATTGACTTCAATAAAACTGTATCCTATAAAAACTTGGTGTTTAAATAGGAAGTAATCAATTCACGAGGCAATACTCTTCCTAAAAGAATATCAAGCGTACCGGAGACACGATATGTCATGAACTCGATGACTCATTATAACCGTTCTTCATTTGTCGTCTCGTATAGGATGTTAGCGGATTATTTATATTGACTCAGTTTTTCACTTGTAAAAATAACATAGAACATCTAAAATGACGTGTTTCTATTGAAAAAATATCTAGTTTCTATTGTTGTAGAATTTCGTGTGTTGTCGAGTGTATAATAGCAATAATTTACCTGATTTGTTCACAAGTAAAACTTGTATTCAAGGTTCCAAACAATCATTGATTCTATGGTATTAAAACCCATTATAGTTTGTTGAGTTACATTATCAAAGACTATTTTTCAATTGTCAATCTATCGACGACTAAATTCTGTTAACTATTATACGAAAACAAGTGTGCAAAAGCAGCGTGTTCCAAACCATCAGAGTATAAAGAAAAATCGATATTGTCTAGTCGGGGACGAGACGCTATGCACCGATGTGACGAATGTAAACCTTTACTTTTTGTTATCGATAACCGAGTAAACTGACAATTGTCTTTTGCTTCTTTGTTGCACGAAACAGAATGTTAAATGTAAACTTTTATACTTATATCACTTGAAAAATTGCCAGTTTTTCTAACAAAAGGCACGTCTTGTTTTCATGCAACAATGAAGTAAAAAATATGCACCTACCATCTGTTTCATGTTACGTTACGGTGCTTTATTAATATTATTTATTTTAAGAAAACGAAAGGTATGGTACCTACTCGGTGAATATTAGTTGTATGAATAGTTTGGACAAAATTTACTGGACCATGTCAGTTGTCATTTGTAGCAAATCATAATCCCAATTCACAACAAACCTGCAAATCATCTAATAGTAGCTGCAAAATACTGGTTCCGAGAAGATTTTTATGCGGGGGCACAATCAACGCGTGTACTCGTTCTAGTAAGCTAGGCAAAGCTCCGGCGTCGTGTGACACACACCACGCGGCAAAATCTTCCAATGTACTTCTCTCCAAGTCTTGCTGTATCCTCATGTACTCGCGCATTTGCCGGTCAGCTATTGAAACTCGGTTTAGCAGATCGGCCATTTCATGTAGCCTCAACTCGAGCCGGGGACTGTATCCAGAACGTTTCGCTAGGAGCCTAGCAATAGCTCCATTTTTCTCTATATCCAGTTCGAGACGATTTATAGCACGCGTAATTTGGTCGAGTCGCGCCAAAATCTGCCTTTCTTTTCTCCTAATAAACGGCAACTCAACACCACCCGACACATTGAACGGTTTGCTAATAACATCCCAAGAGTTGAGTACTTCTTCACCAATTTCGATACCGAGTTTTATTACGTCAACTGCTTCGTCAACCAAAGCGTGCGTGGTCGCGAATGCCACTAACACTAGAAAGCCATGCACGCGAGCCGTCATGGCGACTGTCTGACTCCCACTGAGCCGCTTCGCGTGAGGTCGCAGGGTGGACAGCTTTAATTTTTACTTTCCTTAAAAATATCTATTTTTTTGGCTAATTTTAAAGTTTTATTGTAAACGTCTCTGTGACTAGTTTTATGATAAAAACTCACAGCCCATAAATGACTCATAGAACCAGTTTAACAAGTTTGCATGGCTACTTTATATAATTACTGTTTGAGTTCAAATAACAAAGCAAATTGTGTTTTTATGCCATGATATGGAGAAGCCTGCCTTAAATAATGACTGTAATCAAAATAATATTATAACACGATATTCAACTTTTAAATAAAATTATGAAAGCTTTTACATTTACAACCGTAATCATTGTGAAACTGGCAACACTACGTCTCAGTACGAACCCTCTCCAGTTTCCTGATATATCAACAAAAGCTTTTTGTAGAACTTTGAGTTTCATATAACAAACCCATATTTTATGGTCTTATCATTTTTATGATAGTAATAAACGAAAACTAAATGGAACTTGTCTTTAAACATACATACGCTTGTGTGTCTAATTTTTAAAATATAATTAGTACTATCGACTCACCCTCGCTCCTCTCTTTTTTATTTTATTTCTGTTTAGCGGCTATTACGTGTCACTGCGACCATTTCTGGTCTATTGTGATCGCCGCAGGCTTTGTCCCTTTTAGGTGATTCTTTAAATTGACATAACTTTTTAATTTATGGACTAACTGAAATAAAACAATTACTAAATGTTAAATGAAGCTTACCACAATATATTAGTGCAAACCGCATCCAAATCGGTTAAGCCGTTTCTGAGATTAGCGCGCACAAACGCACAGACAGACGGACAAAAATTCAAAAAAAAATATATTCTATTGCGTTAACAAAGATAATAGTTAGTATAATAAGTAGTTTAGTATAATATGTAGTTGTATAGTTTAGTATAATATGTAGTTAATTTACTTTAATAGTTTTTACCGATAATAGTTTTTCTCAAATATCTCTCATGTACAGACAGCGATCAGTTACAATTTTATTATGTGTATAGATGATATTTACTAAAGTATTTGATTTTTACCTCCAAAATTAGCGATTTATTATATGTTTATATATGTATAAACTATTTTTTCATGTAATAACTATGTTATTATTTAAATATTCTAAAATAAAATAAACCTATTTTTAAGAGGAGTATAATATCATAAATATGTATTTATCAAATAAATTGTTATAGAGTCTATTCTACGAGATCCTAGCGGGCGTGTGGGTCCGCAACGGTCTCCAGATAAAGGGGCAGGCGATGACATACATACAAGCGAACTTCTGCAACTCCATGGTCGACATGGACATCTACTGGCTGCAGATCTGCGCGGCGCATCTCCCGGCCGATCAGTTCTTGGATATGTGCATCGACGTGTAAGTTTCATTATACTACCATCAACTTATTCTCGCTTCGCCTTGGTTATGCGTAACAGAAGCCTATATTATGTTATTCCAGATCGTTGTCTTATAGTGAATTTCGTTCGTATTAATTTTTATCCAAGTTTTATCGTGAAGAAGTAACGAACATACTAACACACATACGATTATGTACATATAAAACATACAAATTTTCGCATTAGGTAATAATAGTCCGATTAATTATCTTATAGTTTATTGAGCAGCCTCACTCTGAAACTCGCTCAGCGTCGCAATAAAATATGTATAGTAAAATTACTAAAAACTTCTTTTTTCATAAATACTGGCATTTCACCCTCGCTTCGCACGGGTTCACCCCTAGATACGTTTTAACGGTTATTATGGAATAGACTATATAGTACATAAAATAAACTATTTGAACTTTTCAGTTTTCCAGCTGTTTTTTTTGGGTATCTATACTTTTTTTTATACTTATACCACCCCTTACACACCCCCCAACAAAACATTTTTTTTTAAATCGATCCAGCCGTTTTTGAGTTTTAGCGAGACTAACGAACGCAATTTATTTTTTAATATTTAGATTATATTTTAAAATATTAAAATGAGTTAGGTGCCCATATTATAAAACTACCTATTTTTCGATCAAACTATCGTTTTCCTTTGTTAAAATATCTGGCGATAACTACAGCACCCATTTTGATCAAACTTTTTAGATTACAACGCTTAGCTCATATTTTAATATAAATATTGTTTTTACTATAACAGTTTCGGAGTACGGGAGTGGTTAAGTATGACGCCGATGTCGCCCGCGCAGGCGGCGGAACAGGACGCCATGGTGGAAGGGCTGCTCACGTTCCTAGCTATCCTGGTCTCGTCTAGGACTAACCTCGGTATGTTTTATATCTATAGTTGATTGGTATTATTAACTGTTTTATTCTATAATACTTTCTTAGATTTACGCGAATATTTGACATTTTAAATAAAACTAAAAACCATGATTGCTGTAAAGCATTCCAAACGTCGGTAACCAAAAATCTAAATAAATTCGCGAAATTAACCGAAAAGATAGTTTTATTTAAAACGTTTTATTCTAATTTTAATGGAACATAATAAGTGTTACGCTCTAATATTTGTATTCGCTAATTAAGGGCCGGCGCTGACTGACGTCGCGGCACGGCACGGTACTTCTGGGTAGTGGTCTCCAACGTCAATGTGCGAAATCGGTATTATAGTTGCCTACAAAAATCGGTATATTTTGACCCATATCGAAAAAAAAACAATATTCATTCAAATAAAGTTTATTTACGGAAATAAATATGTATATCAATGTACTCTTTAAGGATTTTTTTGGATTCCCCGTATCGTAAAACGTAAATGAAAAGGGTTGCCAACTTCGAACTGTAAAAATCGGTAAAAAACCGGGATATTTTCCACGTTTTCTTTGAAATCGTGAAAAAATCGTTACGTTTCGGTATTTCGGTAGGACAGACTCCATATCGGTAGAAATACCGAAAAATCGGTAGGTTCGAGACCACTGCTTCTGGGCATGTTTCGGCGGCCCGAAAGACGCTTTGGTACGACCCGCGGCATGTCACGACGTGCCGCGGTATGATTGTATCGAAATAAAGTAATATGTATTCTAAACTCATTGAAATAAGAATAAAAAGAACTTGATCAATGAAATCCTTTACTTTGTCGTGCCGTGCCGCGACGTCAGTCAGCGTCGGCCCTAAAGTACTACTAAGAACTACTAATAAGGTCTGGTGAGATAAAGTAAAACAAATATTTGGATAATTTATGGACCTACATATTATATTAGATATTTTTTTCAATTTTTGTGCTAGAATCTTTGTCTTAATAATATTTCATCTGCAGACATTTCTACTGCTAAATTTCAGAAAAGAGAAGTATTTAATTAATGTTACGAGTATAAATGCATAAGTTTGTGAATGATTGTATTTATTTATTTATTTATTTATTTGTTTGTTTATTTATTTATTTATTTATTTATTTATTTATTTATACTTGGGAAACAAACAGTATTTAAAACACTTACAGAAAATACATAAATGAGTGAAAATACACAAAATCGTTTGTTACTATATCATGCCATAACTTCTAAAAGCTTTACGTACAACGCCTATCACGCAAGCAAAGCCGCCTGCAAAACCGATATAACTAAATTATAATGTCAAAATTTAAACAGGTAATGACGAGCTGACACAATCAAGACTTGAGGTGGCCACTCTGTTGGCCGCCGGTGACAAAACGCACTCCCAGCTGTTGGAACTGATGCCGGAGCGCTCCGGCAACGCTCACACACGGAACTTCGAAACTGTACTTAAAGAGGTCAGCAAACTATATATTTAGAACTAGCGGTTCACTCTCGTACCATTTCACTTATAACAACAGGTATCTGCCAGTGGAAGTCCCGTCAAAATCGGTCCAGCCGTTTCGGAGGTTAGTCAGAACAAACAGACAGGCAGGCAGACAAAAATTGTAAAAATTGTGTATTATTTTTATAAGTACTGTATATAAATTCATATGTATATAGTAAAAAGTTGCTATTTTGATATTACAAATAGACGCTTCAATTTTATTTATCCCTATAGATTTTACACAACCTGTGTATGTACTATTTATTGTATGGGAAATATATGTAAGTGAATAATATGATAAGAATGTTTGTTGATACAATAGGTGTATGGTTACATGATGTAATGTCTTTCATATGTATAATTGTCTAGAATTGCCAATTGGTAATCAGTAAATTTTTTAGCTTATTTATGTATATGTGTGTACAGTATACAGTGTATTTCTCATGAACAGGCATATTTGACGATCTCGTTTGTATAGCAATTAGTTATTGGGATTTAAAATGATTATTAGTCATTTTTTTATGACAATTGTCATAGATAATATTTATGATTGATGTTCATAAAAATAGCCATTTTCAAATTTATACAAATTATATTTAATTTCAAATATTATTACTTTTTTCAAATGTATACTTATGTAATATACATAATTACCCATTTTGGATAAGTATCCGATATCGTTTGTGTGTGTGCCCGCGCAGCTGTCGGCGTACCGCGCGCCGCCCAGGGGGTCGGAGAGCCTGGAGCAGGGGCTGTTCGTGCCGCGGCCGGCGGTGTGGGAGCGCCACTACGACCCGCTGCACGTGCTGCGCCGCGCCGTGCACCGCCGCGACTTCCACTCCTCCATGGATAGGTTCACCGCTTAGTGAGTCGGACATATTTTGTTCACATTTCTTTTTTAGGGTACAATCACCGATCAAAAAAAGTACTAGGTACACAATCCCGTGCAAAAGTTCCTCTTAAAACTGTCCTTAATTATTCCGGTTGAAATAAATATACAGCTATTTAAATTGAACCTTAATTATTGTCACGCTTAAAGTTGTTTTTACAATATATTTTTTAATTAAAAGCGCGTTCAAAAGTTGAAAATTCAAAATATTTTATTTAGTACATATTAAATTATTACAATTTTTTACTGAACGTCATGAGTCTACTACCAGTTCGGAAAGCAGAAGCCTTAGACCTGAGAAGAACTGGCAAAAGAAACTTAGCAAATGAGCGCTCATTCGGTTAGGATATTTTTTGTCGCTGATTGTATATTTAGTACTTTTTTGTTCGATGGATAAAAGCAACACTACAGGAATTTTATGAGTGACTTTTTGTTTTGTTTTATTTAAAGTGGCACATACTCTGCCTTTGTCGTTTGTGCCTGTCAATATCTTTTGTGATTTAATAAAATTAATTATTGGATTAATTGTTGTATCTTGACTAGATAGGTTAAAAGGCAATATTTTAACCTTTTATTTGTGGTGGGATTATACTCTAATATTTATGTGGGATCATTCGTAACTTTTAATCTATTTTTTAATCATTCACATTCTGAAATTGTGTGCTCCCTCTTTTTTTTGAAATCGTTCAATATGGGGTTCTCGTAAGCTTATTGTTAGATCAGATACCTATATATTCCGTATATTGTACATGAGTGTGACCCGTGCGTCGGTTGCAGCGTGCGGGAGAAGCAGAAGGCGGAGGGCGCCAGCAGCAGCGGCGGCGGCGCGCTGTGGCCGCCGCTGCGCGCCGCGCTGCCGCCGCCCGCCGCCGCCGGCGACCCGCGCCAGCTCTGCGCCTCCGGTACGACACTCCCTCACTCACTCACCCTCGACTGACTGAATGGCAATTAGTTTGTGGTCTTGCCGTTTATATATATACAGTCTACCAATATTTGATTTGATGTTGGAAATTGATAACAGAACTTCTAATATTTTATATTGGAAATCAATTTATTGATTAGTTTTGTTTGTTGTCTCAAATTAAAGCTTTATTCAATCCAATTCTCTTATTAATGGCTTCAAAGCGTGCCAATTAAGCGCAGATTACTTCGACAATGCAATTTTTTTTTTAGTACTTGTAATGTGCATAAATAAATATAAATATATTGGGACATAAACACAGCACTATCCAGTTCCATGGTAAGCTACGAGGCTTGTGTTATAGATACCAGATAGTTGTAACACTACACATATATAACTTTAAATACATAAATACATATTATAAATATAAATACCCATGACTATAAACAAGGAGAACAAACATTCGTGCTCATCACACAAATGAATTCCCCCAGCGGGACTCGAAACAGCGACCGCCGGCACAGCAAGTAAGGTCACTACAAACTGAGCCATACGTGTCGTCAATATATCAACATATTGTCGTATGTAAGGCGAATGACATTAGTAATTTGTTATCATCAAGCTAATCTGATCGTACATACGGTAATACACATACATACGGTAATTTAAATGTTCAACGACTATTAGTAAGTGTGTGTGTGTGTGTGATGGCAGGGGTGCTGCACGGCGCGCTGCTGGCGGTGCTGCACCGCGGCGTGCGGCGGCGGCACGCGGAGGGCGCGGGCGAGGAGGGCGAGGGCGCGGGCGCGGCGCCGCCCGACCACGTGCTGGCGCTGGCCGTGTACCTGCTGGCCGTGGCCGCCGACCTCGCCGCCGAGCGCGCCCGGACGCACGACGTAACTATTGCACTACTCCCTACTCCCAACTCCCGCTTCTTCTCTCTCTTGTTCTTCTTCGCCTTTTTTTGTACTCATTGTTATCTTGTTTCTATCTAACATCATTAATATAAATAAAAATAAAAACATACGAAATGTAGGTTATTTTATATATATCTGCAAAGGTTCCTGGTCCGAAGAAAAGATTTTTTCTTTAGTTGTTTGTCTTTTATGCCTTTTTCACACCATTCAAACTTAGGTTCGCATCCAAGAAAGGCGAGATTAAGTTGCTACTTAGATATAATTTATGATAGAAATTTGATTACTCTGATGATGCTAATTTGAAAAACAATATTTTAAAGTATATTGCGTTGAGTTATAGATAATAAAATTTAATTAGTTTTAGTTAAATGTTGTTGAGAATATTGAATTCTCCCAAACTTTGATAACAAATTATAAATAAATAGAATTCTTGAAAATCATAAATAAACAGGAAAACAAATTATTTCTGAAATAAAACAATATAAAGTATGACATACGATACATACATATATAAGGGTGGAATGTTATTAAAGATGTTCTTTCTTAAATAATTAAGTAGCAATTGATGGTAAATAAATATTAAAATTAATATATAACTTTATGTTTCAAGTTCTGATTTATTATTGGCTCAAATTAATAATACGTATTATGTAAGAGGTCACCGTGAGCCATATTACAATAGGGAATATGCTTGTGATTGAAATAAAAGTGATATATTTTTTTATAATCTTTAATGCTTTTGAACTAGGCCGATGTCTATATTCTTTAATATAATTTCTTTTTGATTAAGAAAATAATCATTAAGGAGCGCAAATATAGGTGGGAAGTTTAAAATTGAAACGCACGCCCATTGGTCAGACCGAATGTGACATGAAAGTATTATCATCATAACTATACTAAGTCGCTACAAATTGTGTCGTAATTTTTCTATGTATATCGAACTGTGATGTCATGCCATGCGCGCGAAATAGCGAGCGTTTAAAGTATCCGTATCGGTATGATGGTAAATTTTAAATTTTTTGGAGCTGGATATTTTTATAATTATATAACGATGTAAGCCATTATATAAGAAATAAAAGCAAATGAGGCATATTCCCTATAATAGTATTAACGTGGAGTATGTGTGTGTGTGGCGCAGCGCGACGTGTGCGTGGCGGAGGGGCCGACGGGCAGCGGCGCGCGCGTGGCGGGCGTGCCGCTGCTGCGCGCCTTCGCGGGCGGCGCCGTGTGCGACAACGCGCGCACCGTGCTGCTGGCCGTGCCGCCGCCGCCGCGCGCCGCCGCCGGCCCGCTGCACCGCCACGACCGCCGCGCCTCGGACAGTGAGTACCGCACCTATATAATACACTGCTTCAAAAAAACTTATTTTTTTGTAATCCCCTATGAAATACATACAAGATAGTGAAAAAAGATGCGTGCAAAAATTAGAAGTGAAATAAAAAGTGGAATTTCGAAAAAATATTAAAAGTTGTTTTTTTTTGTATCAGTCTACTATATATGTATTGTATGTAAAAACGAAACATACTTACTCACTAATTAATCACGAAATGTTAAATTATAAAAGCAACAAAGTTGTTTGGCAAATAGATTCATCATAAGAAAAACATATTTTTGTAAATTCAAACTCTAAAAAATTTTTAAAAAGTGGTTGAACATTTTTATGAGAATTTATTATTTTTAACGTTATATTTAACTCATGCTAGTATATATTTAATCAAATATATAGCAAGAGCTAAATAAATTTTTGGAATGCATATTATAACTACAAATATTACAAACATAAAATTTGCTTGTCCAGCATACATTACCTATCATTATTGGAAGTTAAATTATTATTATTTTTTTGAAAAACAATTTGCAACAAACAGTGGACTAACAGCGATCGAAGAAGTACTAGATACACAATTCCATGCAAAAGTTCTTTTAAAACTGTCACCAATTGTGTTTAGGTAATTATTCTAATTGAAACAATAATAATATACTACAACGTAAATTGAATTTTAAATGCAATGCTTAAAGTTTTCACAAAAAAAAATGAAATTAAAATCGCGCTCAAATGTGCAAATGCGCGCTCACTCAGAGAGGATATTCTTTATAGTTGATTGTGTATCTAGTACTTATTTGATCGTAGCGAACTAATAAATAAATAGTTATGAACACTAAGTAAAATAAATAAACCCATTAACAATTTATAATACTAAATCCACCAACCGTGTGCATATTATTCTCTTTTTTTTTATATCTCGCAATAGGTGATCCAGAATGGGAGGACACGGAGGACAACAGCTCGCGCGCGTCCAACAAGTCGGCGTCGCTCGCGGCCGCCAGCACCGCGCTCGCCGTGCCGCAGTCGCTGCAGGTACGTGCGATACAAGTGTCTAGAAAAAGTGCTTTATGTATTTCTAATTCAAAATATCAGCTATTCTAAATTCAGGATATAAGCTATTCCGGAATAAATATACTTATTGCGGGAGACTTTGTTTTGTAATATGAACTTTTGACTTTGTTTTGAATGGTATGAATATTTAAAATCTATCAGTATTCTGAATCTCACTGAAATTCATTGAGAGTATTAATAAACACATTCAATATATTTTTTTAAATGTGCGCAAGTATATTATTAGTGTTAAAGTTAATTGTTCAATGGTTTACGTAGATGGTGCGCGACAACTCTATGTCAGACGACCAGTCAGATACAGGTGGGGAAACCCCTGAAATAAGAGCGCTAGAGGTTGGTATTGAAAATGAATTATTGCAATAGCATAATATTGAATGCATTTTATCTTTATATTTATAAATAAGCTTAGAAGATTACAATATCTTTTTTTAAATATTTCAAATTTTATTTATAATATCTAAAATATAGTTACATATTTAATGTACCGTGTTTTTTTTTTAAATATTAAATATTCGCGTATATCTAACTATGTATAACAAAATATAAGTTAAAGATCTCTTTTGAAAAGTTGAGCACATATGTACATATATAGTTTCTAGGCAGGTCTAATGGCTAGTATGTACGGTTGCAGATCGATAGGTCCCTAGGCGTGGAACTCGATCCCAGGACCTTCGGTTCAGCAGCCGTACATGCTAACTACTAGACCATCGAAGCACTGCACTAGTTTTCTGAGATAGGCTGTGGTGGTTGAAATCGATCAGGATATAATCATAATCGTCGACCCGCACTCGGCCAGGGCGGTGGACTATGGCTTAGTTCCCTTAGTACTGAAGGGAGGCCCGTGCTCAGCAGTGAGACGTCTAAAAAGTGTTGAAAACTATTATGTAGATACATAATCATAATGACGATGATACAGTTTATGCAGAGCGGCAGCGCGGAGGGCGCGGAGGGCGCGGGCGGCAGCGCGGGGCAGGAGGCGGGCGCGCTGGTGCTGGCCGCCGACGTGGATATGGAGGCGGGCCTGGCGCTGGCGCTGCCCGCGCGCGCGCCCGCCGACCCCGTGCGCCTCGCATACGGTACGCACGCTCCATACTGCTTGTAGACAGGACGTATTTTTAATACTGTACAGCGGTTGCTTATTATTAAATACCTTAGAGAGTAGGTTATATGTGACTCCAGGTTTTAGTTCCTGTTTATTTAATTTCATTCAAATCCGTCTAACAGCTGTGAAGGAGTTGTAAACGTGTACACACAGATTTATACATTTATAATATTAATGTACACAAAATTTGAAAAAAAGACAATCATATTTTTTTTTTCAATCTATAAAAGTATCCATTAACAGTGTAAAGGCGATAACTCAGATAAATAATGAACTTATTCTATAGCCATATAGATTCATCTTATTGAAAGCTATAAAACAGTCGTGTTAAGCAAAAATGTACGTGAAACCGTACTACATATAAAAATTTGTTACACGCTGTCCATTCTCACTGTATTATAAATTCAAACTAACAGTTGAAAAATTAAAGTCATACATATAACACGTATTTTTATTTCATTAACTATCGAAGGAAAAGGCAGTGACACAATCAGTTACTTTAATAATAATAAATAACCGAATGGATGGCTCGTTCATGTAATGAATGAATGATTTATGTATATATAAGTAATTTAAGTTTGTGATGCATGTGTGTGTGTACGTGTGCAGACATGACGGACATGGAGATGCCGGAGTGGGCGCCGGCGCCCGCGCTGCCCGCGCCCGCGCCGCGCGCCGACCCGCAGCCCTCCAACACACAAGTAATGCCCTTTGTGTTGTTGTTGTATTTGTGATTTGTACACGCTTCGCTCGATAAATATCATTGAGAGTTTAACAGTTATTATTGTGATAATTATGAAAAAAATGATTTATGGCTTATTGTCACTTCTGATCTCTGCCCCGCCAGGGGAGTGTTGCATCTCCAACTTTCAAACTCTGAACTACTATTGAGAATTTTCAACAAAAAACCCCAATTATTATATATGACCTGACTCAGGAACTCTGGATCGAATCCAGGACCTTCGGATCTGTACCTGTACGTGATAGCCATTAGACTAATGAGAGTAAGTATTAAAAGTGTTACAGAATGTTGTTATTGACAAATGTGTATTTCTTATATAAATTATATCTGCAACGCAGTTTATACTTTTGCAGTAACATCATATCCATTGTTTTACTGTATACGTATAAGAATTGTTAGTAAATAAATAAATTTCAATAAAAATAAACAATATTTCATTTCTCCATAGGTACAGTTACACACACAGACAGATGAGCAAATAATAGTGAATGAATCAATCATATCACTACTGCTCAAACTGCATTCACAGCTCTCAGGGCGGCTGGATTCTTTTTCTTTGGAAGAACCGGCGCCTTCGTCACAGGAACCTATCGGTTAGCATTTCTATTACATTTGATGTATAAAGTACATATTAAATATAATCTAAACTTGTCATTTTAAATTTAAGGCCTTTCTAAATAATGAAATATAATTTTGATTATGTGTTTTATCTTATACTGTTTTAAAAATATGTTTCTATGCGGAGTTTGTGTGTATGTGTGCAGGGGACGGTCCGCACTTCATCGGGTCGCTGCTGCACAAGCTGGCGGCGCTGGACGCGCGCTGCGCGGCGGCCGTGGCGCACGTGCGCCGCACGCTGTGGCCGCACCAGCGCGAGCGCCAGGCCGAGCAGCGCGCGCGCGAGCGCCGCGAGCGCGACGAGCGCGCCCGCCGCGCGCGCGAGCGCCAGCAGCAGCTCATGCGCGAGTTCGCGCGCCGCCAGCAGCAGTTCCTGGCCGCCATGGCCGGCGCGCCCGCCGCCGACGCCGCCGCCTCCGACGACGAGCCGCAGCGCGACTACGCGTGCGTCATCTGCAACACCACCGCGCCCGCCTCGCACGCCGACCCCATCGGCCTCGTGGTGCTGCTGCAGTCCACCTCGGTGCTGGGCCACCGGCGGCGGCGGCGCGGGCCGGCCGACGCGCCCGCGCGCCTGGCGCTCAGCGAGGCGGAGCGCGCGCGGCTGGCGGCGGCGGCGCACGGCACGGCGGCCGCGCACCACTACCGGCTGCACGACGAGCTGCAGCAGCACTTCGAGCGCGACTCGTGGGTGCTGTCCGTGTCGGTGGGGTGGGAGGGCGGCGTGGCGGCGCAGTCGTGCGGCCACCACCTGCACCTGCGCTGCCTGCGCGCCTACCTGCACTCGCTGGCGGCGCCGCAGCGGCCGCACAACCTGCACGTGGAGCGCGGCGAGTTCCTGTGCCCGCTGTGCCGCCAGCTCGCCAACTCCGTGCTGCCGCTGGCGCCGCCGCCGCCGCGCGCGTCCCCGCCGCCGCCCCCGCCGCCGCCGCACGACTTCCTCGCGCAGGCCGACCACGTGCTCGAGATGCTCGAGCGGAGGCATCCACCGCCGGTTAGTACGACTTTTAAACAAAACCAACATAATGTTTAGAAAACTTAAATTTTACAAATCAAGTGTAAATTTAATAGTAGGTATATAAAATTTATAATTCAATAAATTCATATATAATTTTTAACATCGACATTGAGTGCCATGTGTATGTATGTATATATGTACTTTGCAGCCGCCCAGCCGGCTGTCGGAGGCGATGGGCAAGGCGATGGAGGACATGACGGCGATGGCGGGCGGCAAGCTGAAGCAGCGCTACGGGTCGTCGCCGGCCGCCATCTTCACGTTCGTGGCGTCGCTGGTGCGCACCAACCTGGAGTGCGAGCTGGTGCAGCGCGGCGGCTCGCTCGTGGACCAGCCCGCGCCGCGCTACAAGCCGCGCGACGACTGCATAGGTACACACCGTACTCACCGCCCCGCACTACATGCATATTTCGAAGCTACATTAATTTTCTCTATTATTTTCCATTACTTTATCATGACTTATACAGCGGGCGCTATACGGGAAGTGTTGGTTCAAATTAAGAAAAGTCGTTGCAATCAAAGTTGTATTTCAATTTAACAATAATCACTTTGTACATAGTTACCCAACACTCCACTACACAACCATATGTATGTATGTATTCAGCCCTTTTTATCGTCCCACTGCTGGGCACGGGCCTCCCTTCAATACGAGGGGGATCAGGCCATAGTCCACCACGCTGGCCAAGTGCGGTTTGGTGGACTTCACATGTCTTTCGAAAACTCGCTAGGTTCTCTCAGACTTGCAGGTTTCCTCACGATGTTTCTCCTTCACCGTAAGGCAAGTGGTAATCATGTTAGAAAAGATTCGCACATAAAAATATCAGAGGTGCCAGACCCGGGATTTGACCCCGCTTCACTCGGTTTCTCAAGCGAGCGCGTTACCACTGGGCTACCACTTCACTATTACCACGTATAGATAACACGGTACGCAAGACAGTTTCTGCTAGTGTTCACTGTGCGACCGACCAAGCGTAACTCCGCCGAGCCCGGGCGAGTGTCACGACGTAGACTCTGTCGAGTCTATGAAGATGGCGCTCGCGTTCCGATTAGTTGTGATTATGACTCGTCTCCAACATATGAATGTCCATACAGTAGATGATTTATTCCATCGATTTTAAAGGGAATGGTTTTCGGTAGCAATGGTTATCTATCATATGGTTATTGTCGCTAGATATTATGAGCTAACGATGGCCCATAATATGACGTCATCGTAAGTACCAGGCCAGCATAAGTGGTAAGGAGTGTATGTTGTAATTATTAAGTTGATGTTTTTGATACTCTATTATTCTCTATTGTGTCAATTTTTGTGACATAATTTATAAGCCCAAGGGTAGACAGCGAAAGTAACTTTGTTTCTACCGTGTGTCCCACATCACCGGATCGTCTTTTTTAATTTTAATATTATACTTTTACAAAAAAAAAAGAATTTCAGTTATTATTCGGTATCACCTAAAAATAAAAGGAAAATAAATTATTTTTAAGTCTTAACAATATATTTTTTCTTTGATTGATATATAATTATCGCAACATTCCGTCCGCAGTTCCTTTAATAGCGGTAGCGGGCGCGCACGCGATCGCGCTGACGCACACGGCGGGCACGCGGCTGGGCGCGGGCAGCACGTGGCGCGCGCTGGTGCCGGGCGCGGGGGCGGGCGCGGGGGCGGGCGCGGGGGGGCGGCGCCGCGTGCGCGCCCGCCCCCGCGCCGCCCGCGCGCCCCGTGCCCATGCTGCTGCGCGACCCCGCCGCGCTGCTCATGCACTTCATACTGCTCGCGCCGCAGTCGCCGCCGCACATGGATATACGTTAGTTTCTGTTTGCACGCCGTTGAGAGAGATAGTAGATATTCTGAATTAACAAACTCTTGATAAATAAATATCTAATATAGTTGTTATTTATTAAATAAGTAAAATGTATTATGGTAGACGTTTTTTAATATTTTAAATTCAGAAATACATATGTTGGTTTGTCTTTTTTTTATATAGCAATAAAATATTGAATTGGGGCGATTTTGCCAGTATAGTGATTTAAGTGAGATTTAATGTTTTACAAAACATATTCATCGTATATTTATTTGTACAAAAAATCATATTAATAATTACATATCCTATATCAATTACATATTATTTTTATAAAAAAAATTAACCTCTATCCATCCAACAGAATACTTCACGTGCATAATCCGCGCATTGTACGCACTGACATACTACCAAGTGGTGAACCAGCTGTGCGCCACCGGCACGCTGCCCGCCGCGCTGCACGCGCAGCAGCAGCAGCAGCAGCAGGGGGAGCCCTCGGGGCTGGAGCAGGCGGCGCGGCTGCTGCTCACGGCGCTGGCGGGCCACCACCTGCTGGAGGACGACGCCAGCTCCAACGCTGAGGGTCGGGCGCCCGATATGCATAGTGTCGAGTTGGAGGTAGGTTTTGTTTTTTTCATATTTGTACTTAAAAATTAGTGATTACTTTTGTTTCATATTTTATCTTGAAATTTTGTAATTATTGTAATGTTACAAAGTAAGAATTGCTCATTGTACAAAAATTGATTTATCAATTTTAGTGCGAGCAGTAGGTTGTTGTAAAGTTCATTTAAGTTGATGTAATGCGGAATTTATATATCACTTATATATTTTTCGTCAAATATTTATTTGTCGAATATCATATTGTTTGTATATATTTTTACTGTTATTTTCTTTTTAATGATTTTTCAATTACAATAAATTTATTTGTAAAAAGCGCGGGAAGTCCAATGTTATACAATAGTTTAAAGCGAAATTTGTTAAATTTGTATAATTGATATTTACGTGATGTTAAGTTTTGGATTGGGGCGAGAACGGAACAAATAGTGACGTATCGATGTGTCAGGTGCAAGAGCTGGTGCTGCCGTTCCTGCGCATCGCGGCGCTGCTGCGCAGGCACCTGTACGGCGGCGCGCTGCCGGGCGTGGCGGGCGCGGCCGACGAGTTCCCGGCGCTGCTGCGCTACCTGGAGCTGGCGGGCGCGGGCGCCGGCGCCGCGCACGCCGCGCTGCCGCCCGGCGCCGCCGCCGCCGCGCAGGCCTGGGCGCGCCAGCTGGCCAGCGCCGCCGCCGGCGGACAGCTCGCGGTCTGTCACTACATTTTGTTGGATTTTATTTCGTCAGTTAAGCCTTGTTGTATATTCAAACAGATGTGGGAATAACGTATAGTTTATTTTATTCGCTTTAATGGCATCGTATGTATTATTGCTAGTGGGTTATTAATACTAATTAATATAAATTATTTAAGCAATAATAAGTTAAAAATTATAATATTTACCTAGTGTGTAAATGTATAAGAAATATTTGCTGGTAGTGGATAAGTATACTAACCCATACAGTCGTCTAATGAAGGCGTTTAAATGCCGATTAAAACTCGTATGAAGGTCTTCGGATTGTCATGCTTATTTTTAAATAATAACTGGGAAGAAAATGTTAAGAATTGACCGAATGCATGCAATTTGCCGCTAGATAGCACTGTAGGACTTTAACTTAAAAACTGGTATTTTTGAGCACACTCGAATATAACAGCATGTCCTGTACAGGTGCACCGCGTGATCCGGTCGCTGCACGTGTCGTGGGCGGCGCCGGCGCTGCTGGCGCTGCCGCGCGACTACGACCGCCTGTTCACGTACTACCACGAGCGCGTGTGCCTGCAGTGCGGCGCCGTGCCCAAGGAGGCCTCCGTGTGCCTGCTGTGCGGCACGCTCGTCTGCCTCAAGCAGCCCTGCTGCCGCCACCACCAGGTACACCCACTACCACTACTACCACTTCACATTAGATCGATTTAAAGAGACTTTTTAACTTGTAATAATTCAATCAAATTTTCTTGTTAATGGCTTCAAAGCGTGGCGGTTGAGCATAAATTACTTCGCTAACGTCACGTAGAATGGAGAGGAGAATAATATTATTATTCACAGAAGTATTTTGGAAGATGTTTTTAGAACTTTACACTTTTAATTTTAGAGGTTAGAGTGATGGATAAAGATGGCTGATACATTTTAATGTTTACGCTTGTAAAAGCATATCATTCGTCAATATTTGTTAAGCAAAATGGCTATTTATTTTTTGGAGACTAATGCAAAGGTATCGTACAACCTTTATGTTGGCCTAATTTTTATTAAGCTATTGCATAGCTTCTATCGCGGGCCTTGAGCGTGGGGACCGAATCCAGAAATTCCGTAACGAAAAACCTGACACCCCCCACTCCGACCGGCACAGCGGTGATACTTTTTAGTTTTTCCATCTATCGATAAATACCAGAACTTTTAATGACTTTTTGAAATATCACGCTTGTCTCTTTAGTTCAGCAACCCGCCTTTAGGTGGCATTGGTTGTATTGGAAAACTACCGTAATCAGCTGTTTGTGAGAAAGTATATAGGTGTATAGGTATTTATCATCTATGTACAACAGTGAATATCCGTACTCGTATAATTTGTGTACAAAGTGTTTTAAATATGAATAAACAAAGTGCATTTATTAATGAAAAAAAATACTGCATTAATTAAATAAATAAATAATTATAATTGCATAAGTTGATAAAAAATGCTATGCAATAGCTTTACCGCGGCAGTCTCCGCGTGACACATTTAATTTTTTTTTTATGTTTATTATTCATGTAAAAAAAATTTTTTTGTTGTTAAATATCCCTTTATTTTTATTATTCACGTAAAGTTAAGTATAGTGATCACTGTGAGTGTGACGCACCCGCAGGTGGCGGAGGCGGTGCAGCACGCCACGGACTGCGGCGGCGGCACCGGCATCTTCCTCGTGGTCACCTCCACGTACATCATCGTCATCCGCGGCCGCCGCGCCTGCCTCTGGGGCTCGCTCTACCTCGACGACTACGACGAGGAGGACCGCGACCTCAAGTAATACACCTCATCCCCACCCCCTACTCTTCATCTTGTTATGTATAAAATTATTTAATATACAATTAAGAGAGAATTTGTCAACAGACTTTATTGTGCTGTGGATAGCGTGAGTTTTTCATGAATTTTGATCGGATATAACGTTTGTTATCTTAAATAAAGTAAAACTTAATTATTTACATTGATAACTTTTTAAATTATCGCGTTTCATAATTATGGTTACGGGCAGACTGCCCGTGCTCGTTGCACGGCTAGTGCAACTCAGTCGAAACATCGCGTAAATCCTGTAGTGTAATTATTATTACATACATATATTTGCATTGAGTTACTGATTACGGGTTTGAATCCCGTTAGATGTTTTGTGTATATTGGTATTATATCACTGATATACAATAGCTAGTATAAGACAGAGTTGTTGAATTTATAGTTATGAAAATTACATAAGTAATAATAAATATTATGCGCGATAATGATGGTTATAATTCAAACATTTTTATCGGCTTTAAACTTACTAGAATCTACAATTGGTTCCTAACTCATGTATATATCGTAAAGAAAGTACCTAGTTTAAATCATATGATTACTCATACAATAAAGTATTAGCGTGTATGTATATCGTATGTGTGTGTGTGTGTTTGCAGACGCGGCAAGCCGCTGTACCTGAGCCAGGACCGGCTGGAGCTGCTGCAGGCGCAGTGGCTGGCGCACCGCTTCGACCACACCAAGCGCACCTGGGTGTGGCACCGCGACTCGCTCTAGCCGCGCCCGCGCGGTGCGGCACCCTTTATATATATACATATATGATCACACTTTACTTTGTTACTCGTGTATTGTCATTCAATTAAAATACATTATTTGCAACATTTGCCACTTACTTGTTAAGTCCTATACCTAGTGTTGTTTTATATATTATAAAATGAAATTTCAGTATTTAGAAATTTATGAGTAATTCGTAATTCCAAAAATGTTCTTTTACAGCGCCACTTGCACTAACTTTACACTTGACAATTTTGATCGCTTAACGAGTTTTAATTAAGTGCTTTTAATTTAATCTTTTGTATAATTAAAAATAACATGATATGTAAAACTAATAAAAAAATAAAAATATGTACTTATTTCTTTCAGTGCATAGATTATAAATTATATTATATTTTAACTTATTAAACATGCTCAATACTTACGTGAATGTTCGTCTTGTCTTGTTGCAGGAGGGCGAGCGGCCCCGCGGCGCCGAGCTTGTATATAACTACGTCATAACTGTACCATACATATATTATTTTACTTTAGCCACCATCTATTTACAAAGTTTCATTTGTATAGAAACTTCTCGAAGGAAGTCCCACTATGTATTATTTCATCAAAAAATATCCTACACTTACGATTTTGTCAACGATTATTATTATTATTATTAATAAAAAAAAGTAATAAAAATTCATAGAATTTATCCTCTATATAATATGTAACATAGCAATAAATTATACGTAGCTAGATATATATATATCCAGTGCTGACTTTAATATGAAATATATTATCCAGTTTTACCAAAACGTAGCTTTAACGTTCAAAATGTCGTTATTGCACACAAATCATAAATTTTTGATTGACGATTCCAATTAAAACGATCAGAAATATAATCGTGTGATGTTTTAAATGAATAAGCAACTAAATTTTTGGCATAACTGGTCTTATAATATGTTATAATATAAAACCTTCGCCCCCGGCCAAGCTGATAGTGGGTAGTTCGCTCAAACGTGACAATTATGTAAAAAAGCATGTATAAATTAGTTAGTGTTATGTGATGGCGTGTTGAATCCCGATCTGTTGACGTGTTACGAGTTTATCCATGTAGGTAGATATATGCCGGGAGTTCCCCCCTCGCGCCCTTCACGCTACGTACGAGTGCCGCATGGATCTGTTATATTTACATAATACATATTATTATGTTTTATGGACGATATAAATTATCATATTACCAGATTATATTTGCTTTTGTTGCGAACTCATGGATTTATAGATTATATTGTGATTATGTTAAGTTTGTTTTATGTATTTGTATTATTGAATTGAACTTTAAAAATATTTATAATTTAATAAAAATAAAAGAATATACGCTTTCGATTTGTCAAACTACATCGTATGAGACTTATCTAAATTAATCACTTAAGTGTCGCTTCAAAGGTTTTAATTGTAGCCTTTGAAGAGTTCCACTAAACATTTCCTGACTTCAACATCAGATCAGTTTTATGATATCAAATTAATATATTATTATCTTCTATAAATATCTCTGAAATATATACAAATATATAAATATCTATATATAAAAACTGATACACATTTCCTAATAAATATTTCTTCTTATGTCGTCGATATTAAGTCAATCTTAAAGAATAAAATTCAAAAAAATCGGAAGTTCTAAATGTCTCCACAAAAATTCGAACTCACCTCATAGAGTAATTTTTCAAACGAAACAACGTGCGTTTTAATTTTGTCATCCAAAAAGCAATGAACAACAGAGATTTGAAAAAAAGCGCAATTCAATTTCGAATTATGCACTTCATTTCGAGGACACTTTTGAGATACTAATATTTGTGTATCTTTACTTTTTGTATATCAATGATTGATATTGAATTCACATACAATCTTTAAATCGAATCTGAGTTAAAATTAACTTTTTTTAGTTATTTTTATAGTGTTAGTTTTATGTGAAGCTAACATAGTACGTGGTGGTGTGGCGGTGTGGTGGTGTGGGGGGGGGGGGACGCGGCGCTTGTGTATATATATACGAGCTGGCTGTGAACACGTCGGTCCTCGGATCGTTAGATGTAGACCTTAAATTATTTTCTACGGCTAATTTACATACGTCTGATTTTGTATGTAATGCGCTTATATTATACACTTAAACATAGTTCTGTTAGTGGCGACTGGCGCGGCGAGGCGAGCAGTGTCCTCGCGGCCGGCGCTCGCGTGAAGCCAACCGTATATAGTGTAGCTTTAGATTTGTACTGTCTGTGCAATCGCTCAGCGCGACGCTTCTTAAAGCAACGAATTACACGCTGTGCTAAAATAGATGCAACTTTTTTTTATTATTTCATTAAGAAACTCATCGTGTTATATGAGAATATGTATGTATCTACTTTGGAAAATTAGTGTACCTATATTGTGCTACGAATTTCGATTTGTTTACCCGCAGTTATATGTATATGCTTTGTTTACTTGTTTTGTTATATAAATTGATTTTTGTATTGTAGAATATTTTGTTACATCCAAATTATATCAATTATTTACGATATTGTGATACGACTGATGCTATACCAAGCTTTGTGTAGTTTTATTTAAACTCGTTAGGAAGTGTCGGTCGGTCGTGTCGTTCCCGTCACGGCGCGTGTGGAGTGTGTTGTTATCATTGTGTCTATGATTGTTCTTGTATATAATCAATAATTAAACTTGTTGATATTTCATATGTTTTCTTTTATTTATTCGTTTTGTTTGTCCTTTTTCTTTTTTACGCAGCAACTAATCGGCAGGATCTATTGCATAGAAGTGCAACAAATCACAGATGTATTTCACTCATGTGTTACTTACTCCACGTCACTAAATTTCATCCAAATCTGTTCAGCCGTTTTAGCGTGCAGTAACATAACATTATTAGTATTAGTATTAACTGTTAGCAATTCCTTTTATAAAAAGTAATATATTACCCTTGTCTATGATACAGGCAACATGCTATAACGATTGATGACAGTGTTAAGGCTTTGAGAGATATGAACAGACCAAAGGATTTCAATTCTTATCTGATGATAAAAGTTATACATCAGCTATCTTATGACGTGTTAAGTATTAGATAGTAATAAATAAATGCAAAAATATTTTTTCAAACCAAATAACTTTTACAACTATATTATTAGGTGTTAATTGAAAAATGTAAGTTTCCCAATTATAATATATAATTTATTTTTTTCTGTATCTGTTCTCAACAAATAAGCTTTAAGATAAGAAAAGATTTTTTTAAATCAAATAAATCTACTATCTATAGTTAACGTTTAATATATAACCCGGATAACCAGCTATCATCATACCAATTTTCTATCTGTCCAGTGATTTTGTCGTGATGCGTTCCAGACAGACAGACATACAAAAACTCTAAAATTAGCTTCAACCTCTGTATCGACAATAAAGTCGATTTTCCAAAAAATATTTCATGTACAGATTCGGCTTAGTTACAATTTTATTACATGTATAGTTTACATATGTTGTATCTTTATATTCTGTAGTTATTAGGAATTCAATATATATACCTCATTAACACTGAAATGAACATACATACAATGGAAAGAAAAACTGGCAGAATGAAATAAAAAGGCACAATTTGTTAAAAGTTTATATTATTGTACATCAACTATGATTTAGAGGTAGAACATTCTACTCTTAAAGTAAACGGGTAGCGGTAAGTTACAAATAATAATAATTTCAAATCGATCGCTGCGATAATATCTATAGGCGGAGTAAGTGTACCCAATTTAAACGATACGTTAAACAATTTATTTATATATGAATATAAAGCAATCACTAGTGCCTTCTGAGTGTTTTTTTACCATATCAAAGATGGCTCAGCCACAAACCAGCTTCAAAACATCTCAGGACACGAACGTAGTTACTATATTGGAAAAGTATTGTTTGAACACGAACAGAATAATTATATTCATATTATTTGCTGCTGCAGACATTATTTACTGACCATATCATCTATATTCATAGAAAAATTAAGATTTCTTATAAAATAAAACCTAAATTTTCATTTTCATTACATAATAATATGAAAAAAAATAAGAATTGTAAATAAACATTTTGCCTTAAAATAAACCAAGCGTTTATCACAGAAGACATAAAATATCATGAAAATATATAATGCACGATACCTCCTATTATGCACCGACACGAGTTACCGCATAATATCTAAAACTCCAAACGATTAAAACGAATACTGGTTCCAAAATAATAATAATTATATATATATATATATATATATATATATATATATATATACACATATTATAATAATATAAGTTCTTTTAGTTGTTTTATATAATTTGTGTTATAAAAGTATCCAAAGCAAGGAATGTCAACATGCGAGCCGAAGCGACCTTATATAATAATAATGCAATATTATACCAATAGCGTTCAATTTGGACGACGCCACTCGAACGCTACACCTAACTTACACCAAACAGAATACCTACCGTAAAAAAACGGCTCAAAATATCCCACAAAAACTCGAGAGCGTTGTCTACTTACTATATATATATATACACACTTTACATTTATAATACAGGTATATCATCTAAAAACGTGAACACATTTCGATAAGATATGGGAGTGTAAGTATCGACGCTCGCCTCCCGTCCGTATGGCACCGACGAATAGCGATAAACAAAATATATATAATATACTTAATTTAGGCAAGTTTCACGTGTCGAAAATAGGCCGAATCTCGTCTATATGCGATTTACGTATATCTTGTTAGAACATAATTGTAAACAAACTAAACCACACGCGGGCGTTGCGAGCGATAAATATGCTACTCTAATAATTACATCATTCCCACTAATAAAAAAATACATTAATATTATTTATATGGATTTTAGTCCAAAAAAATGGGCAACAAACCCACATAGCAGCTGTACAATACACACGGCCCTCCCGCGTGTGCCTCCCTCTAACGAACTACCTCGTAAGCTACAAGCACTAATCTACACATACTGGTCGTTCTGAGATCTCATCGCGAACTGCAATACTTGGCCGTTGTGGACTGAATTAATCACATCTTAAGCTTTAACTTATATATAAAAAAGAAAACCAGTAAATTAAAGATGAAATATCGATTGCGAAATCTAACTTAGCCACAGCGAGCGCGTCCCGCCAACTGCAGACTCCGGGCGAGTTCACTCACCGATTATATACTAATCGTTTATATGGCGTCGCTGCTCCTCGATTGCTGTAAGAAAGTCGTATGAAAATCGTAAATTTACTATAAAAACGTACAAATGTTATAAATAATTATTGTACACAGAGCCCGAGGCGGAGGAGCCGCGCCGCGTCGCTACGCGGTAACTAACTACACTATACTAAATAAATGAACTTGGCAGATATGTTATTTCACCATATGATTTTTAGATATTTCACTATTCATCTTACATAAGTCTATATACATCTGAACACTCATAGGTCTATTTATATAAAATAATATTTTTTTTTATTATTTTCAAAAAAAATATATAAAAAAAATACTGGCATACATTGTTTAAAGTATCATCATCTAGTATATCTAAGAAACCCTTTACATAAATATACACAACTAATGCTAAATATGCATTTCATTCAACGTACAATTCTCGTGTTGAAACAATACAAATTTTTGGACAAACGTCTAATCCCATACAATGGTCTTTGTATAAGACGAGCGCCACTAGCGCGCCCCGCGGCTGCGCTCGCGCAACATCTCGGAGCTATAAATGTTAGTAAAAACCACATATAAATTCATCCAGTACAAACAAACTATAAACAACCAGACATAGTGTTGGACGTTTAGTATAATATAGTATGTATATAATATATTATTTTTGCAAATGTCTTTTTTCAATTTATGAACTATGATATGAATGAGAGAGAAATTAGCCAGCTAATGTAAAATATCGAATTAGAAATAAGAAACTATAACACTTCCAAATGTTCCTTACAGTTGATATAACAATAATTACTTTAAAAATTGTTTAATCAAAAATCAAAAAAAGTATTAAGTTTCAAAAAAAAAACATCAACGGGAATCGATCCCATGGACACGTGGTTTATAAAAACCATTGTGTTAACAGCTTGCAGTTAACACACAGCTTAGTCAGGCAGCATCGTGGCACGCCGATACCGTGGTAAGTACGTTTTAACAAATGTAAGTATAACATGTCATTGCCTTCGTGTCTTCATACTTCACCGCCGGTGTTATAACCAGGGGGGAGTGGTGGGGCCCACCGCCGTGGTGTCTGCGGGGAGGCCGACGGTCAGGCCGGCGGGGGGGAGGCCGGTGGTCAGGCCGGCGGGGGGGAGGGCGGTGGTCAGGCCGGCGGGGGGGAGGGCGGTGGTCAGGCCGACGGTCAGGGCGGGGGGGAGGCCGGTGGTGGGGAGCGTGGTGTCGAGGGGGCAGTCACAGTCGTGGGCGCGCGTGTCGAGGAAGTTCCCGTAGTCGTCGGTGAGGGCGCTGTGGCGCAGCACGCACACGTGGCGGCGCGCGCCGGACCACCACCAGCTATCTGGAAGTTTTATTTGTCGATGTTTCATTTAAATATAAGATAAAAATTATTTATTTACTAGTGGTTTAACTGTACTTTGCAGAGGTGTGCACATAGGTGTCTAGCCTATGTGTTGAACATACACACACACACATATTAACTATCGCATTCATAATAAAACCCTGAAAGAGAAGGCTTTTAGCGGTAAGGCCGCCTGCTGTGCACCTATATTTTTTGAAGCACCTATTTATGTTTTTTTTTGAAGAGCAATAAAGTATATTATTAATCTACGACAGACAAACCAACAAACAAACTTTCAAATTAATATAAATTTCGAAGCAATTTCGTAGCAAAATGTGTAAGCATGATACCTCTGCTAATGTCAGCATCTGTGATCAGCTCCTCGTTCATGAGCGCGGTCAGCGCGTCGTCCGTGTGCTTAGAATCTGTAATTAAAAAACAATTGTTATAACAAATTTTTAGTGTTTCTTTTAAACAAGCAACATTACTTTAACAGTATATATCAAATATATTAGTGCTTGTTGGTATGGACCGATAGTACTATTAAGTGTTATATGTTCCAGACTGACTCATCAGTATTGACAAAATGAAGCTATTGATACTGCACTTTATTCACCTTCATCTATAAATATAATAAAACAATTACCGAGTTGAATCCATATATCAAATATTATTTGGAAAACCTTATTGAAATAGTCATTATTATCAATACAGAGGCCAAATCTATAGTTTTTAGAATTTTTGTCTGTCTGTCTGGGATCACATCACGAGAAAACAAATTACTGGACAGATTTTGATGAAATTTGGTATGATGACAGCTGGTTACCCGGGACAACATATAGGATACTTTTTACTGCAGGAAAATATCTCATCTCTGAGAAACCGATATTAAATGTTAAAAAGTAAATAGAGATGAACCCGAGTGGAGAGAGGTGTCGCTAGTTAAGTTATATAGATAATGACATTATTACGTGTATAGTGTATACAGTAGTAGGAAGCCCTTATGGTCTCATACTCACTAGACTCCTCCTTGACAGCAGGCTCCTCTTTCAGAGCGGCAGAGGGCGTAGTGGGCGTGGTGGGCGTGGCGGGCGGCGTGGGCGCGTCGATGCCGGACGCGCCCGCCTCTCCGCTGCTGTTCGAGCTGCATTCAGGACTGTACGGTGCCATCTGGGAATGTTTAAGGTTATTATTTAGTATCTGCCATTATCTAGTCCAAGTTTTCTTACACACTCATAAATATAACTAATAAGAAGACAGCTTGACAAGCATGAGTTTAGATTTGTCTGTACACTATTTCATATTTACTTAATCAGATAAATATTAGAATAAACATTTAATATGTATAATACTTTCTTAAATTTACGGGAATATTTGACATTTCAAATTAAATTATCTTTTTGTGACCATGATTGCTGTAAAGCATTAGAAACGTTGTGAACCAAAAATCAAAGTAAATCAGTGAAAAAAAATTAAAAAATAGTTTTATTTAAATCATTTAATATGAAGTTAGCGATAGAACATCAAATTATATTATATATTTAACAATAATAAGGTTAGAGTATATAGCTTGCCTATAGGGCTGTAATAAAATATTCACTTCTTTCTTGTACTTCCACTATTATATAAATATGTAACTAAATCTATCTATACATATAATAAAATTGTAACTAAGCCGAATCTGTACATTCAATAGTTTTTGGAAAATCTTATTGAAATAGACATTATTATCGATACAGAGGCCGTATCTATAGTTCTTAAGAATTTTTGTTTGTTTGTCTGCCTGTTACTGCATCACAGAAAAACCACTGGAGGGATTTTGATGAAATTTGGTATGAAGATAGCTGGTTATCCGGGTCAACATATAGGATACTTTTTACCGCGGGAAAATATTTCATTTCAGAGAAAAAATGTAAAAACTGCATTGTAAGAGTATACTAATATGTAAAACCTAAGAATTTGGTTTTTGGTTATCTAAACGCGAGCGATGCTGGTAGTTTATATATACAGATTCTAAATAAGTTGAACTAACTCTCAAGCTGCGCCTACGCCGCGGCGTCACCTCCGCCATTTTATAACTGCTGTCCATCGCCCAGTACGAGCCCTTACCGGGGTCGTCCTTGCTGCGCGCCACTTTCATGAAGCATTTGTTTAGTGATAGGTTGTGTCTTATTGAATTCTGTAAAATATTATTTAAAGTTGTAAGATAAATGTGTTTTTTTTACCCTTTTAGCCCAAAATGGTCACCATCTCAATTTCTTCAGGGACATTAAAAACCTCAACAAATTATAAAATAAAAAATTATATATAAAAATAAAAAACCCAACAGCATAAAAGCGGACCGATAAAAACATGTTCACAAAGGAATGTAGTATTATGCAGTCGGAGACTTACACGTTTCGTTCTTGTCACTAGATGAATATCTATCCTAATAAATGGAGAGCCGATTTTTTTGTTTGGTTATACTGCAATAACTACTGAACCAATCGGAATAATACTCATACTATATATAAGATGCAACGTGTTTCGGAGAAGGTTTTAGTATATGATATGTTGGTAATTAATGTACTATGCGGGCGGACCCGCAGGAAAACGCAGAAAATCCGCCAATATAATTTAACTATTTTTATATAGCCTATGACACTCACGTTATCAAGACGAATCTAACGACGTATGAATCATCAAAATCGGCCTACGCGTATCGTTTCTAGAACGCCACATAGCAACATACATACATACATAGACTGATAAACACATTACCCTCCTTTATGTCGCGCAATCAGGTATAAAGCATACATAATATGTTGACAACTGAATATTATAACAATTTTCCCAAAAAAATTGTTACGTACACATTAGCTCACAGTCTTTGACTGATTACATTATCATAAGCTCTAATAAAATAATAATAAAAACATAAGACTATAATAATGATGACTTCATGAGTAATTATGGCAAATATTATGTATGGGGATGAATATTCCTTATGTATGGAGCATAAGTAATATGGGTGAGTCAACTAGCAAAACAAATTAATATAAATATAATGTAAATAAACGTTAAATATATTTGAAACTTTATTTATATGATAAATTTTCTTTTTATAACAATTAATTAATAATTATATCACATTTTTTAAAAGTAATGTGTTTTAGCATTTGCTATATTCCACCATTTTGATACAAGTTTGATTTTATATCAGTTATATCAGATGATATGATGCGTTTCATTAACTGTAGTTCTTGAAGTTCACATTATATATACTTATAAATAAATAAATACATATATACTATGTTATGAGTTTGATTTTTATATGTTTAAAATTATAATCTAAAATAACAATATAAAAATATTATTGTAAAATATTAATGCAACAGACTCACCATCCATCCTTTCCCAGCTTCCTTATAATATGGAAAGGCATTGCATATGTAGTTATATATCTCATTGAGCGTCATCTTGCCATTTGGAGAACTGCTGATAGCCAATCTAATCATACTTGCATAACTGTCAAACAAAGATTTCACATAAATATATATAGTAATATTACAACAATTACTTAAAAACTAAAAATATTTACATTATATTCCATAATCATATTAAAAAATCTCTTGAAAGTTAATTTATCAATGTAAAAAGTATAATCACTATTTTTTAAAGCCAATTTTTACTATCAATGGTGATAAGATGTAAGAAAAGTATTTTAGTTGGTTATCATTATAAAACAAAGGACTTTGCCATCAAATATAACTAGTGATTTTATAGAAACACAAATATGATTAAAGTGTTACTTGTTCAAAGTCTAATGAGTCATTTATAAATAATTTGAAGGTTTCCATGATTGAGGAAAACGTTACCTGTAAGCTGGCTTAGCGTGTTTGATTTTATTTATATTTTGTTTTTGTTCAATTTCCTTGTTGTTGTTTTCCTGTTGGAGTGATGGCGGTTGCACATCCTCATAGAGGAAGCGGGGGATCGGGCCCAGGGGACTGTGGCGCGGTGGCCCCGGACTGTACGCCGGGAGCCACTCCACTCCGGGCGAATCACTCATTGTCCCACATACAATGTACCTCGCTACTCTAGCTCACTACACCTTTTCATTATTCAACATAAGGTTACCGTAAACAAACTATCGCACTACGCAGCCCTTGATACAAAGTCTTGTGGGCGTCGAAATCACTTGCTACCTTTTATGAAGATGATCTCTGTTTTTCATTGTAAAACATCAATTAAAAATCCTTGGAGTGTCGGCAGAAATCACTAACACAATTTGCGAAGTTTATTGCAAATAAAGCAAAATTAAAATAAGGCGCAGCAGCAGACATCAATAAATTATGAAAAAGAACGGAAAACATTAAAGAAAACGTAATTTTCTGAAAAATGAAATTATTATGACATTTGAGGCGCCTACAACAAGGAAAATGGCGGCGAACAGATAATGCTTGAAAAAAATTATAATGAGGCCTATTGGGGATGTGCAATTTATTATATCTATATTTTAAATAAATGGATATTGAAATAATTTTAACTATAGAAGTAAATAACTATAGAAGTAATTATCCATGCCTTTACATTTTAATCAGGCATTAGTAATTTAAAATTCACAGTACATTATTTTAAATGGCAATCTTAGGTAGGGATGCCATGTCAATAATTTTAAAAATCTGTCAGTTTATATAAAGTGTTTGTGGGGGGTGAATGTGCCTTGTGTTTTTATTTTAACGGTTTGTTGATAATAAATGTACACAACGATCTAAGTATTGAAGAAAAGCTGTATGAACATTTGTGTTCATTTTTTTGATGTGAATTTAAAAGTGGCGTGCTAAAGATGACGACGCAACCAGAAGTTGGTGTGTCCGACTTCGTCCTGCTGGACAATTTGACTACAGACAAGTTTATCGAAAATTTGCAATTGAGGTAAGTCTTATTTGCTCTCAATCTAAAGTTTTAAATTGCTTACATTGCGGACTTTGTTTTTGGCAGATGCTTTAGAATATATTTTGTTATGAAGTCACCGGTGAGATGTTTTAACGCAAGTGGGCTAAAAGTTTTGTTGTAACTGGTAAAGGCAGTAACAATGTGATGTTGTTTAATGTTAATTATTGTTGATGACTGCGTAAATAACTAACTTATAAACACATTAAAAGGTAAAATGAACTCAAATAATTTTAATCTTCAAGAAAATTCCTCAGGTATTGCCTTTTTATCACTTGAGTAAATAATACCATACAATTCAATAGCATACATTAATATTATGAATTATCTCATAATACATAAATATTTTAACAATTGGTTAGATAATACATATATGTATCATAAAGATATGGAATAAAATTCTAAGTTTATCAATCATATAAAGTTTTCTCAATTGAAATATGTAAGTAAATAAATAATTTAAGCTCTTAGTCAGTTATTCTTCATTTATAACTTCTGGAAATAGAAAATATAGGTATATAAAAATATGTTTATTTGGTAAATGCTAATTTTACAATTACATGTAAATAAATCGAAATTTTAAATTAGACCCTTGCTTGTTGTGGTTTTTAAATATTTTTGTTATTTACAATTAAATTTTATCTTATGCTTTCAAGATTTATTATTGTTATTATGAAACATTGTGTTATACATAATTAAGCAATATTTTTTAGTCTGTACTTTATTTTATAAACTATAAAAATTTAAGTAAGTAATGTATGGAATTCATGAAAGATTCATTATCCTATTGTTATTGTTTCATATTATATTAAAAATACTTTTTTATACAAACTTTAAAAAGTTGTTCAGTAATTTGTGTAATTCATTTAATAAGCTATTGACTTAAAGAATAAGCTTAGTAGCAAATTCTTATTCTTTTCAAAATAATATTTTTAAAGATGAAAACATTGCCTTAGACAAAGTGAAAAGTAAAAATAATTTCAAGAACTCAAAATCTTCATTTTTCTTATTTCTTCCTTAAAACAGTTAAATAAGGTTTATAAACAAATCTTTACTACACAAAATATTTTTGTAGTAAAATATTTTTGTATAAAAAATCAATTGAGGCAAATTCACAAATCAAAGCTAGTCTACAAAGCACTTGGCTAAGCTTTAATGAAACAGAATCATACAAGGTGTCATAATAAAATAAATAACTACAACTTGAACGGTATTATACATAACAATTTCACTTAATGTAGATGCAGCCTTACACTATTGTTTGTATACTGTATAAGTACAATGGTGTGCTGTCATCAGCTGATGTCATCGCTCAAGGTGTGATGACTATTATAACCTTTCCTTATCCTCAAATAAAGAAAAAATATTTGTTTTAACTAAAGTTCTAAACGTTTTCTAATATGTATTTTAGAAACTCAATGGTAAAATCTTAATATACTAATTGCAGTTATTACTTGGATGTCTGTCTGCTTGTGTCTATTACATCCTCAACTACTTAAAATGGCCTCTGCTTTATGCACAACTATGAGTATATAAAATAATTTATAGAATTTGCCTTGCCAATAAAAAATGTCATTCATATCTGACAACCCTATCTAAACATTCTGAGATAAACATTCAAAACAGTTGCTGTATACTTTTCTGTTTCACCTTCAGATTTTCTCTATTTTGACTATTTTTCAGACAACTTTCCCAAATTTGTTTTTCCTAAAAATCTTTTTGAGAATACAAAGATTTTATAAAAACAATAGCCATTCTCAAGAGATGCTCTTACCAACAAACAGCATTTCATTTATCATATACATATGTATGCACTCAGCCCATTTTAACACCCCACTGCTGGACACGGACCTTCCTTCAATACGAAGAGAATCAGGCTGGTCAAGTGCGGGTTAGTGGACTTCACATGTGTTTTAAAAGCTTGTTAGGTTCCCTTAGATATGCAGGTTTCCTCACGATGTTTACCTTCACCGTAAGGCAAGTGGTAATCATGTTGGAAATGATTCGCACATGAAAATATCAGATAAGCGAGACCCGGGATTTGAACTCGCATTGCTCGGTTTCCAAGCGAGCGCGCTACCACGGACTACCACTGCCTTAACATAATATAATTATATTATCATATAAATATGTAGGTACATATTAAAACTATAACGCGATATATGTACATCGTACATAATACATATTATGTATTAAGTATATTTTTAAAACTCCAATGAATTTCAATAAACGTTAAGAGTGTTACTGATTAATTTAAAGTCTTATCTTAAATAACAGAATAGATACCTAGTAAAAAACCACTGGTTCTTATGGATGTTTTTTATCTATCTTAATTTATTTAGTACCTACCTAATCATCTCACTGAGTCTGCGGGACAGTCGAGTTTGGCCGTCGTTTAAGTAACACCTATGAATAGAATTATTTTATTTGCTAAGCGTGTAACATATTTGCAAAGTGCACTGTACTGGGTTCGATTACGTTCACAATTTCATGGGTTTCAATTTTTTTTGCGCGGAACACTGATTCTTTTTCTAAAATAAAAGTAGTCTAAGTTACTCCTTATAACATCAGCTATCTGCCAGTGAAAGTCCCGCCAAACTCGGTCCAGTTGTTTCGGAGATCAGCCGGGACAAACAGACAAAAAAAATTAAGTTGTTTTTTCCTTATTAGTAGGTAGGTACCGTATATACTTTCTGCATTTAGTAAAAAGCTCTTATTTCGACATTACAAACAGACACTTTAATTATATTTATCTGTACAAATAGGTAATAGATATTGAAGAAACGTTTCGAAAGTATTCGTTCCGTAATTAGAGTTTTAAAATGACTGAAAGGAGATCCTCTTAACCTATTGCTGGTCTTAACCAAACTCGAAGGTACTAAATTATTGTATTGTCATCCGAATGTCAAATATGTTTTTTTTTTATTGAAACGAGTCAACGACCGTTAGCAACTATACCTTTATACCATGTCTATAAAGATTACTATCTTTGCGTATTTCTATGCTCCATGCTTCATACGAAGTGAAGCGTTTTGTTTGCACAAATTAATTGTAAATATACAATAAAAAAAATACTTAAACCTAATAGAAAAGTATTTTCATCAAAACGCATGTTTAAGAAAACGAGAAATGTAAACCGAATTTGAATAAGCCACAGCACTACAATGGAAATGTTTTAACAAATGAAATTGACTTCTGCCTATGTGCTTACAGCCTTTAAAATAAACCACCATCGCCATAAAAGAAAATCTTATTAGACCGCAGATATAAACCACGGTGTTCCAATGTAATGACTTCATTCCCACTTTACAGGGAAGAAACGTTTTGCCCGCCTTTGCGAAATGCGAATGCCGCATTGTCTTTGACGGTTTGTGTTTTACGCGATTCGATTTACGATTAGATGCTCGTAACTGCTTTCAATTTACTTGCTCTTCGTATTTTTTTTTATTTAAGTATAATTAATTATTCTGAAGAACCGGTAAAACCTTACATTACCTGTAAGCTACAAAAAAATATAATAATTTTAAATACTAACGAATAAAGTTAAATAAAAAATATTGCCATATTTATTTATAATACTTAAAATGCTTAGAATTAAAATCAATAAATATAATTGTAAGGTACTTTAGGCCATTTTTGAATTTTATTTTTGTAATGTTTTCGGAAACCAAAAATCAAAATAAATCTGCGAATTATCCGAAAAGATAGTTTTATTTAAAATCAAGAAGTTATAAGCAAAAATCTGAGGCCTCCTTTTTCGTTTCAGTTTTTTGTTTACATTAAGTACAATTGCAATTTTTATTTGCAGAAAAAAAAACATCTATATCAGAATATTATTCCGCGTCTAATGAGTATCATAATTTTCTGACATTTCTAACCATTTCGCAGATATTGAACTTCTCGACTAGTCTACAATATCTGTGTCAGTCCATTTACGACGAGGTGCTTTTGACGAATTTAATTTATTGCTCGTAAACCTTTCAGTATCTCATTAGTCCAGCAGTTAAAAGTGAGACCTTTACTACATGCGTACACTCTATAAGCGTAGAAAATTCATTTTGTAAAACTTATAATGCGTTTCAATACCCTAGATACCTTATACCAGCGGTCGCGAGTTCGAATCCCGTTGGGGACATTGATTTGTGTGATGAACACGAATGTTTGTACTCCAGTCATGGGTGCTTATATTTATAATATGTATGTATTTAAAGTTATATGTATACGTGTAGTGTATCAACTATTTGGTATTCCATAACATAAACCTCGTAGTTTGCCATGGAACTAGATTATGCTGTGTGTTATTGTCTCCATATATTTATTAGACATTATTATCGATACAGAGACATCTATAGTTCTTAGAATTTTTGTCTGTCTGTCTGTTACCGCATCACGGAAAAACCACTGGAGGGATTTTGATTAAATATGTTATGATGATAGCTGGTTATCTGGGTCAACATATAGGATATTTTTTACAGCGAGAAAATATCTCATCGCTGAGAAATCGATACTAAACGTCAAAACGTAAGTAGGGACGAACCCGAGCGAAGCGAGGGTGCGTCGCTAGTATTATTTTATATTTATAATGCGACTTATGTACCTTAAAAACCTTTCAAAGTTTTATACGAAGTATCGACAAGTTTTTTTTAATTTATTATTAAGTGTTTCGCTGTACACACAGTTTACGTGTTTATTGTTAAAATCCTCAACAGCATAGATAGATAATGGTATTGGTCACGTTCACATTATCCACACACTAATGGCTCTTATCTCTTATCAGCTAGACCAAGACACACGTGACAATCAATATTGGTTGAGGATTTAACAATTGTTTGCCTACATTTAGTATGTATGTTTATGTCCTTATTGTTATAATTATCTCATGGATATAGTTCCTAGCTTATACGACCGCTTGAGTCACGGACCAGGTGAAAAAACTTTAGTCTCTCCCATGACAATGCCGGAAATCAAAAATCAAAATAAAC